ATCCCTCGGTGTCTGTTTGCTTCGTTTTCCTATAACACCACCACTTCTCTCTCACCTCCCCTGGGGCTTGGAGTAGGAAAGAGGGAAGCATGGAACCTGTTATAATGGAAAGATCGTGGGCTCTGTGGTCCAGTCTCAGCCTCTGATACGATTCTTACACAGAAGAGGTAGAAGTGGTAGCAACTAACAGAGTATAAGCTTGGGAGAATAATGATTTATAGGAGCCCCGTAGGGGCCTTAGCACTTAGCAGGAACTCTGTATCAGAAAGCTCTTTGAGCCATTGTCATTCTCCTGGTGCCTGGTTGACACTGGAGAGGAGCTACAATACAGGGTGTGCCCCTGAGAAGCTCTTAGTCCTGCAGGAGATGCAGCAGGCTTGTAAACAGATAGCTGAGATGCAGCATGGTAAGTGCCTTAATGGCAACTTGTCCAGAATTTGCATGCTCCTGGGAGAGACCCTGTAGCTGTGGAAGTGATAGGGGAGAAGTGAAAGAATGCTGGGGGGTGGGGGGGCGGGGCGAGGGGCAGGCAGGGATGCTCAGTGCCTCCTGCTGCCAGAGCTGCAAGAGCAAGAAGCCTCAAGCTGGGCTGTAGTTGGCATGTTCCACAGTCTGTCTGGAATGCCCTTTGCCCCAAATGGTGTCTCAGAATACCTGGTATAGGAAGCAAAACACTTTTAAAAATATATTTATTTTTTACAGAGAGGGGAAGGGAGAAAGAGAGGAAGAGAAACTTTGATCGGTCGCCTCTTGCACACCCCCAGCTGGGGACTGGCCAGGAACCCAGCCATGTGCCCCCATTGGGAAAGGAACCAGTGACCTTTTGGTCCATAGAACAGTGCCCAACCCACTGAGCCAAATGAGTCAGGTCAGGAGCAAAACCCACTTTTACCTAGTGATAGAAATTGCTAGTCACTCCTTCCTAATTTTGTTTCCAATGCAAAGTTAGAAGCCATAAAACTGGGAAGGAAGTCTCTATTAATTATTGTGTTGGCCAGAGACTGAGTTTGGTTTTTTCCCCTGTAAGATGGCTTTAGTAGCACCGAGTTCATCATTTGAAAGAAACAATTTTGTTAGATTGCATTGTATTGGGGCAGCTGTTGGCATCAGTGTGCATTTAAAATAAACTTACCAAAATTAGTGAATTTTTATGTAACCATTTTAATTTTGAAGATACAAGAAAATAGGCCCTGGCTGGCGTAGCTCAGTGGATTGAGCGCGGGCCTGCGAACCAGAGTATCACGGTTCGATTCCCAGTCAGGGCACATGCCTGGGTTGCAGGCCAGTTCCCAGCAGGGGACAAATGAGAGGCAACCATACATTGATATTTCTCTCCCACTCTTTCTCCTTCCCTTCCCCTCTCTCAAAAAATAAATAAATAAAATATTTTAAAAAAAGATACAAGAAAATAACATTTTTGGCATATTATGCCTTACTATTTCAAGAAAGACTTCTGGCCAAGATGGAGGTGTACGTAGATACACTTTGCCTCCTCACATATCCAAAAGAAGGACAACAGCAAATTTAAAAACAAACAACAGCCGTGGCTGGAGTGGCTCAGGAGATTGAGCTCTGGCCTGCCAACAAAAGGGTCCCTGGTTCAATTCCCAGTCAGGGCATATGCCTGGGTTTCAGTCCAGGTCCCCAGTGGGGGTGCTGGAGAGGCAACCACACATTGATATTTCTCTCCTACTCTCTATCCCTCTATTCCCTTCTCTAAGAATAAATAAAATCTTAAAACAAAAAAACAACCAGAAATGCCAGAAAATCAAACTGGACGGAAGTCCGACAACCAAGGAGTTACAGAAGAAACATTCATCCAGATTGGTGGGAGGGGCGGAGACAGGCAGCTGGGAGGAGGACTGGGAGGGTGAGGTGACAGCTGGCAGGCAACATCCTCCCACATTCCTGTGCGGGACAACTGGGGAGTGAGACAGACCATGCAACCCGGGGTTCCAGCAGAGAGGAAAGAAAGCCTCAAACCCACTGGCTGTAAGAACCTATGGGGGTTGCAGTGGCGAGAGAAACTCCCAGTCTCACAGGAGAGTTCACTGGAGAGACCCACAGGGTCCTAGAACAGACACAAGCTCACACACCTGGAATCAGCACCAGAAGGGCCTGGCTTGCTTGTGGGAAGTGGGGGAGGTGACTGAAAGCTGGTCCAGAGCCAAGCAAGCAGCACAGTTTCCTCTGGGACCCCTCCCCCACATACAGTGCCACAACCCAGCAACCTGGGTTGCCCCGCCCTGGCCAATACCCAGAGCTCTGCCCCTTACAACCTAACAGGCCAGACCACACAAAGAAATTTGGCCCAAATGAAAGAACAGATCAAAACTCCAAAAATACAACTAAGCGAGGAAGAGAGAGCCAACCTGTCAGATGCAGAGTTCAAAACACTGGTAGTCAGGAGGCTCACTGAAATGGCTGAGTATGGTTGCAAAAGAGAGGAAGAAGTGAAGGCTATGCAAAGTGAAATAAAGAAAAATACACAGGGAACCAACAGTGAAGGGAAGGAAACCGGAATTCGACCAACGATTTGGAGCAGAAGGAAGAAATAAACATTAAACCAGAACAGAATGAAGAAACAAAAACTCAAAAAATGAGGAGAGGCTCAGGGACCTCCGGGACAACTTGAAACGTTCCAACATCCAGTCATCGGGGTGCCAGAAGGAGAAGAGGAAGAGCAAGAAACTGAAAACTTATTTGAACAAATAATGAAGAACTGCCCCAGTATGGCAAAGGAAATAGACTTCCAGGAAGTCCAGGAAGCTCAGAGAGTCCCAAGGAAGTTGGGCCTGAGGAAGTAAACGCCAAGGTGCATCATAATTACATTACCCAAGATGAAAGATAAGGAGACAATCTTAAAAGCAGCAAGAGATAAGGGGACAGTTACTTACAAAGGAGTGCCCATAAGACTGTCAGCTTATTTCTCAAAAGAAACTTTGTAGGCAAGAAGGGGCTGGAAAGAAGTACTCAAAGTCATGAAGGCAAGGACCTACATCCAAGATTAATCTATCCAGCAAAGCTTTCATTTAGAAAGGGAGGGCAGGGAAAGTGCTTCCCAGATAAGGTCAAGCTTTTAAAGGAGTCCATCACCAAGCCCTTGTTATGTGAAATGTTAAAGGGACTTATCCAAGAAAAAGAAGAAGACTAAAACTATGAGCAGTAAAATGACAACAAATTCACAACTATCAACTACTGAACGTAAAAACAAGAACGAACTAAGCAAACAACTAGAACAGGCACAGAACCACAGACATGGAGATAACATGGAGTGTTATCAGTGGGGAGGGGCAGGAGGAAGAATGGGAGGGAGGTACAGGGAATAAGAAGCATAAATGGTAGGTACAAAATAGACCGGGGGGGGGGGGGGAGGAGGAAGTTAAGAATAGTATAGGAGGACCTGGCTGCTGTGGCTCAGTGGATTGAACACCGGCTTGTGAATCAAAGGGTAGCTGGTTCAATTCTTAGGGCACATGCCTGGGTTGCGGGCCAGGTCCCCAGTAGGGGCCCCTGAGGGGCAACCACACATTGATGTTTCTCTCCTCTTTTTCCTTTCTTTCCCCTGTGTCTAAAATAAGTAAATAAAGTCTTTATTTAAAAAGAAAAAGAAAAAAAATAGTATAGGAAATGGAGAAGCCAAAGAACTTATATGAATGACCCATGGACAAGAACTAAAGGTATAAGGGTAATGCTGGGGGGAGGGGGTGCAGGGCAGAGAGGAATGAAGGGGAGGGAAAAATGGGACAATTCTAATAGCATAATCAATAAAATATACTTAAAAAATAAAACTACCTGTTTGAGGAAAAATATAAATAAAATATATTTTAAAAAGAAAGATAATTCAACTAAAATGAATAAAAAAACAGATTTGTGCAGCGTGTGGAGAAGGTGCTGTGACTGATCAAATGTGTCAGAAGTGGTTTGAGAAGTTTTGTGTTAAAGATTTCTTGCTGGACGATGCTCCACAATTGGGTAGTTCAGCTGAAGGTGAAAGTGATCAAATCAAGATGTTGAGAACAGCTTTCTTTCCCTTGTTCCCGAGCTGTGAGGAGTGGCTTGTGTGATTCCTGGATAGCGGTGGCTATGGGAAGCGCTACCGAGTGGCCTTTTGCCAGCAGGGGCGGTAGGCAAGTCGCGTGGTTGCCCTGAGCCCAGCAGTGTGCCCACAGCAGCGTGCCCACAGCAGCCCGACTAGGTCCGAGGTCTCAAACCCTGAATGCTGGGATGGCAGCGGCGTGGCCTGTCCTCAGCCTCATTGTCGGTGGGACCTCTCGAGGCCTGAAGCAGACCGCAGTCTGCGTTCCCACGCCAGGAGTTAGGGACATCGGTTTGAGTGCATTTGAGTTTATTGGTCATCGACCGTGTATGCCAGGAATTTTTTAATGTGCGCGAGGATTTTTTTGTAGAAGGGAATGGCCTGTCACAGCGTGGAGGAGTCACTTAAGATTTAGATCATAACAGCCATGTCAAGGTGCAGAACTTGGTGGAAATCGAATAAACACCACCTTTGCAGGTGAAAGATGGATGCTTCACGCATGGACGGCTGCTAGCTGAATACTACCTGGGAGCACACATGTGACCCAAGGGTTTTTTGATGAATTTGAAAAGCTGATCTTCAAAGGAGTTGCTTGGATCATTAAAAATTTTTAGAGTATGTGGAGTACCCTAAACACTTTCTCACAATCCATAAATACATAATTCAAACAATGAGTCTGTGAATAAATATTTAAATGTGAAAAAAAAAAGATGTCGAGAACAATCAGTGTTACACTACGTGGAAATAAGTGACCTCCTCAAAATATCCAAATCAATAAAGTTATTGGTAAGAATGAAAAATGTGTATTTTATTTTACAGGAAAAAAGACACATGAACCTTTTGGCCAACCCAATATTTGTTTCCTCAGGGAGCAGCTTTCTGGCTTCTTCAGCCTCCTCTATTCTCAGTATTATTGCTGTCGATATCCAGATCCACTTAATATTGCAATTTTTATTTGTAGGCTCAATGTCAGGCCAGGAGTTGGAGGAGTTCGATCTCATGTTGGGATCCAGCAGAGCTTTCTCAGCCAACCAGCACGCACAGCCACCTTCCAGCAGAGGTTTGACGCTCGGCAGAAGATTGGCCTTTCGGATGCCCGGCTCAAGCTGGGAGTCAAAGATGCCCGGGAAAAGCTTTTGCAGAAAGATGCCCGTTTCCGGATCAAAGGGAAAGTGCAGGATGCCAGAGAGATGCTGAACTCCCGCAAGCAGCAGGGCACGGTGCCCCCGAAGCCCCACCAGGTAGCTGATGCCCGAGAGAAGCTCAGCTTGAAGCGGAGTTCCCCTGCTGCCTTCATGAATCCCCCTGTCGGGACAGTGACCCCAGCTCTGAAGCTCACTAAAACCATCCAGGTATATGTGGCCCTTGTCATGAATTCCTGGAAGCCAGTGATTCTGGCAGGGAGCAGGGGTTGGGAGTATTTGGGTCAAGTGACAGCTCCCCCAAGTCTTTGTATAGTAACCATATGAGGAAAGCAAGGTATTAACCCAGTTTTATATAAAAGAGGGGGACATCCAGAGAAACGAAGTGACATTCTCAAGTGAGGTAGTTGGGGAGGGAAGAGACAAAACCTTTGTTGAGCATGTGCTAGGAGCAGGCCCTTAACGTGTATGACCTCATGTATTCCTCACTGCTGCTCTGGGGTGATTATCCAAGTTTTCTTAGAGAACCTCAGTCTTAGAGATGTGGATTACTATGGCCAGAGTTACACAGCTAGTCATTGGGAGGACCTGGCTCCTCGTGCTTTGCCCTGGCCTCCTGCACAGCCACCACCCCAAAGGGAGTGGAGACAATATCGATATCATTTCATCTTCACAGCAACATTGGTCATGGGAGTAGCAGCAGGCAGCATTCACTGAGCCAGGCTCACTGAGCCCTACTCGTGCATGATCACCTGGTCTGTGAGACGACAGAGCTTCCTGTCACTCTCCTACTTTGAGTATGAGGCACTCTGCAGGGCCTTTTACCAAAGACCAAAACTAGTGTCCCTTGTATTTCAAGTTCAGTGATCATGCACATGGATCCTGTGGGATGAATTATGACCAGTGGGTGTTTCTAGGTTCCACAGCAGAAGGCCATGACCCCACCCCATGCCCATTCTGCTGGAATGAGGATTAATGTCGTCAATCATCACCAGTCCAAACAGGTAGAATGTGAGTGTGTGTCCTGTGTGGATGTGTGCAGATGTGTGCACAGCCGTGTGCACAGCCATGTGCTTGATTGGGCCTGATGTTGAGCCCACTGTTCACAGTTGGAAGAATTGGGGTGGGGTTACATTTGACTTTTTGTGTTTTATGTGTCTTAAGAAGTTTTGCGCCCTGAGTGGTGTAGCTCAGTGGATTGAGCACAGGCTGCAAACCAAAAAGGGTTGCTGGTTTGATTCCCAGCCGAGGCACATGCTTGGGTTGCGGGCCAGGTCCCCAGTTGGGGCCGTGTGAGAGACAATCACACATTGATATTTCTCTCCCACTTTCTCCCTTCTCCTCTCTCTAAAAGTAAGTAAATAAAAAATCTTTTTAAAAAGATTTTTTTTAAAAAAGATAACTGGAGAGAGACAGAGAGGCAAATTGAAAACATACACCATATTTTTGGACTATAGGACACACACCCCCAAATTTGGGAGGAAAGGGGTGCATCCTGTAGTCCGAATGTAGCTTTACATTTACATTGGTGAAATATTGTTATTTATGTTATTAAATATTTTATCATATTTTTCTTGCCTCAAAAATTTTCCCCTATTTTCCTCTAAAACCTAGGTGCGTTTTATGGTGTCAAAAGTATGCTATATTTTTAATTGATATGTGCTTAATACAAAAAATTTACAAAATAGAAAGAAATTGAGAAGAGTAAGATCCTTGTGCTCCTGCTCTCCAAAGCCACCTGTTGTTGACATTCTGGCCTGGTTCCTTCTTGGTTTTTAAATGCCGTTATCAGTTAATTGACACGTGGTTGTCAATTATATTTGTGGTTATATTCTTAATTTCATTTTGTGTCATTCTTTTTTCACTCTGTAACTCAGGCATTTGTCTGTGATTCACATTTACTGTAAGCAGCATTTGCAATAACTGCATAATCCATTGAGTTGACGTTCCAGTTGATTTATACCGTTTTACTGTATTTTTCACTGTTACAAATGCTCTGAACATCTTTGTGGATAATGCCTTTTCTAGGGTTTAGGCTTATTTCTGTAGATCACATTGCCTGGGGTGGGCTTTCCAAGCCAAAGGATATAAATAGATATTTGGGGGACTTTTCCTAGCCATTGTCCACTTGTAGAAAGACATTTCTGATGCACCTGGAAGTTGCAGCCCTTCCCTCAGGCCCTTGTGGGTGGGGAGCCACCTGTCTGGACTTGAGCCCCAGTGTCCTCAGGTGCCCCCACCCCTGCCCCTCAATCACTCCAGTGTCTTCTTCCTGCTGTCCTCGCTCTAGACCTCGGTTGACAGCCTGTATGCCCCAGTAGCTTGTATCTGTGTCTTTTCAGAATGTGTATGACTTGGACGAAGATGATGACATTGCAGCTCCCATTCCGAGTAAGATGAAATTTGCCGTCTCGGGCAGCTTTCTCCACCATGTGGTAGGGCATTTTACATTTTTCGTACGCTCACTGTGTGTGTCTAATCGGGTGGAGGGTAGAGGTGGTGGGAAGTAGGCTTTTCAGCTCAGGAATATTTCTTCATTTGGGTCTTAAGATTTTCAGAATGAACTAGTCCAAACCCTCGTTCTGTAAATGCTGAGACCAGGGGAGTCTAGTGATTTGTTTAAGGTCCCACAACTAATGAGGTCTGAGACCCTTTGGGAGAAATGTTAATGACCCCATAGGGGGTTCTTTTATTTCTGGCAGAACAAGCTACATGTTCCCCTTTCCTCCATGGTCAGCAGCTCTGACCCCAGTCTTAAATCTGTATTCCCTTGGTTAGTATGGTAGCAAAATACCTGAACCTTACCAGTGGGTTCCACCAGGTACAGCCTGCTTGCAAGGAAAGTTTGATAGACTAGGACACTGGTCAGATACCATGCAGGGAAGGAGAGCACAACATCGGGAACATAAGGGAGGTCTTTGCAGACAGGGAGGCCCGTGGGCATCCAAACCAAGTGCCTTTATCTTGCTGTCAGGCCCAGAGATTCAGTTTTGGTCACTGCACTGAATGTGTGGACCAATTTCCTGATTATCAATGAATCTCTGTAAGTGGTGTGTGAAGGTGACTAATGCCAGTACCTTACAGAGGGGCTGGCCTTTCCAATAACTAGACTGCTGGGCCTGCTGTAGAGGGTTCTGGCTCAGTAACTAACCCTCACTGAGATCCCTGAAATGCTGTTTCTTCTAACTCATTTAAGACACCTCCTCCCTCCCCTGCTGTGAGATAGGTGCCATTACTGCCCCTGTGCAGGGGTCAGGCACAGCCAGGTGAAATAAACCTGCTCATTGTCACCCAACTTGTAAGGGGTGAATCTAGGAATTTGGGCAGAAACAGTTTTGCTCCTGGGCCTGAGTGTGACCACTGCACTGCGCTGGCTCTTGAAACCGAGAAAGTGGCTCAAGGAAGGTGGAGCCCAGCCAGGGAGCACAGTTCATCTAAAGCCAGAGAAACTGGTGAATCAACCCTGTGCCATAGTCTTAGCAGTTTCACTCCTTTCCCTCCCCGAGTCAGTGCCTGCCAGACAGCAAGACCACCTGCCACTTCTGCCTGTGCACCCTTTTCCTTGGACACATTGATAACCAGGGACTTTATTGCTTTATATTCCTGAGGGTCCACATCCCCAGCTAGGGGTTGTGGGGGGAGGGAACAAACTGTATCTGCTGGTCTCCGTGTGCAGACTTTACCAGTGTGTCTTTGACAGTCTGGCAGCTGCTAGGGCCAGACCTACGTGTGGTGGTGCTTCTGTATGGCCAGACAAAGACCAGAAAGCTGGGAGTTATGCCTGGAGCTGATGATCAGTCCCTTGTGAAAGAAGCATATGTGGGAACACACTTGACCCCAAGCTTCGGCCTTCTCACCAGCCCCAGTTGTTGGGTATTTAAAGTCTAAACAGTATGCGTGAGCCTGTGGATCCTGGGGAGGGCTGTGTGGAAGCTTTTTGCCAAGGGCTTCTAACACTGGAAAGTGTCTTCTGTGGGCGTGTGTGCAGGTTGTGTTTTTTCTCCCCTCCCGCCCCTTCCCTGTGGGATGTCGCTGGCAGCCCTCTGGCTTTAGGCCACTGGTAGAATTGGGAAACTGGGAGGCCTCAGGTGGAGCTGGTCAGCCCCTAGCTGGGCATCCAGGTTGCCAGCCTCTCAGGTTGCTGTCTGCCTCTTTGTTTAGGCTGGGCTGAGCAGTTCCAGGCTTTCCATATCTAAGGCCCCCCCTCTCACCAAAGTGGTTCAGAATGATGCCTACACAGCGCCTGCTCTCCCTTCCTCGGTTCGAACAAAAGCCTTGACCAACATGTCCAGGACACTAGTGAACAAGGAGGATTCCCCCAAAGAGCCGCCGCCTGCTGAGGTGAGGTGAAGGTGAAGGAGAGGCAGTGACCGCAGCAGTCGGCCTGAGCTGGGTGGGCAGTGTGCTCTGTTCACCCTGCTGCGTTCGCAGCACCTCTCTGAGGCAGGCATTGCCACGTCCTTTACAAATGAGCAAAACAAAGACTCAGCGGCCCCTCTGCGCAAAGCGCTTGCAGGCGAGTGGGGAAGACAGAGGTTTGGACAGAGCACTGTGTCTCATGACACAACAGTTGTGCCCAGAGGAGAGCTACTGGGAACGCTGAGGACAGAGCGGCTAATTTCCACTGGGCACATCTGGGAAGGTGTTAGGGAGCGGATCCTGTCTGGGCTGGGTGGGTCTTGAAATGGGGGTGGCATTCCAGGCAGAGAGGCTCAGAGGCCTGAAAGGTGGCCCAGAACATTTGGGAAACAAGAGACTCTGTCTCTTTGCATTGGGGTATGGGGACATGCTGGGTGCTGGGGCCTCTAGTGGGCAGTGGGCCCTCTGGGCCACTGGCCTGTGCTGAGGTCTGCTGTTGGAGCAGCTTTTCTCTGCCTTCTGCTAACACGCTTGTCTGTGGCAGCCTATCCTCAGCCCTTTGGAAGGTACCAAGATGACTGTGAATAACCTGCACCCTAGAGTTACCGAGGAGGACATCGTTGTGAGTATTCTGCCCTGCCGGAATTTGACCACTGTGTCAGGGATCCCCAAGACCACCCCCAGGTTCCGATTCTGACAGGGTCGTGTCAGGGCTCAGAGTTATGACAGGACACAAAGCAGTATCAGCAAAAGGAAAGGGCTCATTCAAAGGCCAGAGGACACTAGGCACAGACTTCTGGAGTCCCCTCCCAGTGGGGTCACACAGGATGCACTTTATTCCCCCAGCAGTGAGTCGTGATCGTGCCTGTGAGTTAGAGAAGCTCATTAGAGACTCAGGGGTTTCATCAGGGACTGGTCACACAGGCGCCCTCTGCCTGGCACACACCAAAATTCCAGACTCCCGGGAGGAAAGCAGGCGTTCAGCTAAACCACAGCTCAGGCCCCGTGAGCTGTTCTTGTCGGTCAGAGTGGCAGGAACCCTCCCAGAATCTCGGTTCCCAGACCCCAGCCACAGGCCAGCCTTGGAAGCAGGCCTTTCAGAGGGTAGCAGTCATGGGGCTGTGTTAGCTTTTTGTGCCACTTCTGCACCAGGGCCCGGGCTCATGCCGGGATGTATCCTGAGTGGGCTCCTTTGGTCCTGTGGGGCCTCAGCTAGTCGCTCCTATTTTCCTGTGAGTCTTCAGAACTTGTGCCTCCTCCAGAGATTCCACATGCTGATTCTAGAGGAAAAGAAGTGCTATGGGTTGGTGTTATCTGGTGGGTGACCCCTCTGGGTTGCCCTCCTGGTCCATCCTGTCCCACCCCTTGGTAGTCATAGGCAAAACCCAATTCAGGTGCCTGGTGAGCAGGGACCCAAATCCAGCCAGGATTTCTTTTCAACCCCATTTTCATTCAGGCACCCAGAAAAGCTGTTAGTTTAGAAATCCAGGTACCCTTTTAACTCTGAACTGTCAGATCACAAAAAGAACGCAGCTAAAGACTTCAGCTTCGCCCTGCAGGGGAACCCAGGGTCTGGAACGGCCCACACTGGCCACTGTGTTTGTTAATGATTTTATGGAACGCCAGAGGCTGTGTGATTGCTGTTAGAGCTCAGCTGGCACTCCAGTGAGCAGGCACGTGAGAATGGGGGTGGTAGCCGGTTTTGTGTAATACTTGGTAAGTGATAAAGAACTAAAGCAATTTTTTCCTGATTGTAAAAGTAATAATAGCTACCGTCTATTGAGTACTTACTATGTACCAGGCACTCTGTACGCAGAATCTTTGAAAATACAGAATAGTGGAGAAACTAATTGCCTCTAATGATCACCCAGTGAAAACTGCCAATAGCAGTCGTCCTCACTTCTTTTCCACCCAAATGGGTCATGCTAAAAGAAAGACAGTAATAAAATTAGGATCATACCCAATTCAGTTCCATGGGTTGATTTTGATACTTGATATTCTCTCCTTTATTATTAAAAACAAATTGAGTCTCTGTCCTCCTAACAGCCTTGCAAACAGCAGTGGCAGTAAAGAAATGGCTTGGGTATTAGCCTCTGTGCTCTGTCTGCACATCGTATTTCCTTTCTGGCCTCAGTCTCCTGGGCTGTAAAATGCGGAGGGATTAGAGGAAAGAGGATGGCAGTATGTATCCAAAGCACTCCCTTAACAATGATCTCAGTTAAGCTGTATAGAACCCCGGAAGGTAGGCAAGACCAGTCCTTTTCTGGAGAGAAAACGTTGTCACAGAAGTTAGTGACTTGCTAGAGCCATAGGTCACACAGTCCAGGAGAGGCAGAGTCCAGGGACAGAACTGCCGTCAGTCTGACTGAGGGTGCCCAGCTAGCCTGGTTTTACTGTCTCCTGGTTAGCACTAAAAGTCCTCTGTCCTAGGAATGTCCTCAAGCTGGGACAGTTGATCCTTCTCTAGAACTGCAAAACTTATTTCTGACAAATTGCTGTGCATCAGACCAGCCACTGCCTTTGATAAGCCTGGACATTCATTCTCATGGCAGAGCCCTCTGAGAGACTCTCCATCCCTGTTACCCCGTGAAGGAGGGAGGTGGGCACTGAGGCGGGAGGGCTTCAGGGTGACTTACTGAAGGTCACAGGGACTCCACGGCTTGTAAGCTCAGGCGTGTTTCTCACTGCCAGCATAGTTTCTCCCCTCTTCTGGTCCATGCTGAGGCCTGTGGATGTCCCGGGAAGACCACCTAAAGGGAAGCCTCCCTGCAATCCTGGGCACTGGGTGTATTCAGCTGCAGTGTGGACACCAGTCAGCCTGGAGCCCTCAGAATGTGTGGCAGGAAGGCAGGCAGGATGACAGCCCGAAATTCTCCCCCAACCCTAACTTGTTTGCTCTTCGCAGGAGCTTTTCTGTGTATGTGGAGCCCTGAAGCGGGCTCGGCTAGTCCATCCCGGGGTAGCGGAGGTGGTCTTTGTAAAGAAGGATGACGCCATCACTGCATATAAGAAATACAACAACCGGTGTCTGGACGGTAAGTCTGGGAGCGGGCAGCTGCTTCACCTTCCCACTCCTCATTGCTGACCGTCAGGCGGCAGCCTTCTGAACAGGCCCTCCTTTGAGGTGGGTGGGGGGTCATCCACGTGTAGTTGCCCCACTGGGGCCTTCTGTGCACCAAGACCAGGCAGGGAGGTGCAGTTTCTGGCTGGTGCTGAGCTGCCAGCTGCCAGTCCCACAGGGCCCTGGGTGCTCACTCAGCCCTAGCACTTCAGCGGGCCAGCAGGGAAGCACCATTTCTCTGTGGATGGTTCTCTTAATGAGTCTCGGCAAGTATACCAAGTGCCATAGCCTCCTGCTTCCACATGCTGGTTTGCTCACTGCTAGGACACAGGCTCCTTAATGGCCTAGAGCCTCAACTGAATGTTGGCGCCTTGGTGAGCTGTGCTTTTGATGAGTGAATCTCACTGGACTCAGATTCCCATTATTCATCTCAGTAGAGCCCATACAGAGCTCTGTCTGCCGTGCTCCTTCTGCCCATCACTTGTTCTTTCCGTGTTTGCTGAGGAGCAAGGCCCTGTGGTGGCAATGGAGGGAGGGACAGAAGCTACTAAGACACGGTCAGCGGGGTTTTGCTTTGCACATTCCTGATGACTGATGATGTTGAGCATTTTTCATGTGCTTTTTCACCATTTGTGTATCTACTACGTTTTTTCTTTCTTTTAGGGAATAAAGGGTTTTTTAAAACATATTTTATTGATTATGCTATTATAGTTGTCCCATTTTTTCCCTCCCCTTCATTCCCCTCTGCCCAGTACCACCCCTCACAAGCATTGCCCCACCCCACCCTTAGTTCATTTATGTCCACGGGTCATTCATGTAAGTTCTTTGGCTTCTCCATTTCCAGTACTATTCTTAATCTCCTCCCCCTCCCCCCCCCTCCCCTCCCCCCACCCCACCCCCCCCCCGTCTATTTTGTACCTACCATTTATGCTTCTTATTCCCTGTACCTCCCTCCCATTCTTCCTCCTGCCCCTCCCCACTGATAACACTCCATGTTATCTCCATGTCTGTGGTTCTGTGCCTGTTCTAGTTGTTTGCTTAGTTCGTTCTTGTTTTTGTTTTTACATTCAGTAGTTGATAGTTGTGAATTTGTTGTCATTTTACTGCTCATAGTTTTAGTCTTCTTCTTTTTCTTGGATAAGTCCCTTTAACATTTCACATAACAAGGGCTTGGTGATGGACTCCTTTAAAAGCTTGACCTTATCTGGGAAGCACTTTCCCTGCCCTCCCTTTCTAAATGAAAGCTTTGCTGGATAGATTAATCTTGGATGTAGGTCCTTGCCTTCATGACTTTGAGTACTTCTTTCCAGCCCCTTCTTGCCTACAAAGTTTCTTTTGAGAAATAAGCTGACAGTCTTATGGGCACTCCTTTGTAAGTAACTGTCCCCTTATCTCTTGCTGCTTTTAAGATTGTCTCCTTATCTTTCATCTTGGGTAATGTAATTATGATGCACCTTGGCATTTACTTCCTCAGGCCCAACTTCCTTGGGACTCTCTGAGCTTCCTGGACTTCCTGGAAGTCTATTTCCTTTGCCATACTGGGGCAGTTCTTCATTATTTGTTCAAATAAGTTTTCAGTTTCTTGCTCTTCCTCTTCTCCTTCTGGCACCCCGATGACTGGATGTTGGAACGTTTCAAGTTGTCCCGGAGGTCCCTGAGCCTCTCCTCATTTTTTGAGTTTTTGTTTCTTCATTCTGTTCTGGTTTAATGTTTATTTCTTCCTTCTGCTCCAAATCGTTGGTCGAATTCCGGTTTCCTTCCCTTCACTGTTGGTTCCCTGTGTATTTTTCTTTATTTCACTTTGCATAGCCTTCACTTCTTCCTCTCTTTTTGCAACCATACTCAGCCATTTCAGTGAGCCTCCTGACTACCAGTGTTTTGAACTCTGCATCTGACAGGTTGGCTCTCTCTTCCTCGCTTAGTTGTATTTTTGGAGTTTTGATCTGTTCTTTCATTTGGGCCAAATTTCTTTGTGTGGTCTGGCCTGTTAGGTTGTAAGGGGCAGAGCTCTGGGTATTGGCCAGGGCGGGGCAACCCAGGTTGCTGGGTTGTGGCACTGTATGTGGGGGAGGGGTCCCAGAGGAAACTGTGCTGCTTGCTTGGCTCTGGACCAGCTTTCAGTCACCTCCCCCACTTCCCACAAGCAAGCCAGGCCCTTCTGGTGCTGATTCCAGGTGTGTGAGCTTGTGTCTGTTCTAGGACCCTGTGGGTCTCTCCAGTGAACTCTCCTGTGAGACTGGGAGTTTCTCTCGCCACTGCAACCCCCCATAGGTTCTTACAGCCAGTGGGTTTGAGGCTTTCTTTCCTCTCTGCTGGAACCCCGGGTTGCATGGTCTGTCTCACTCCCCAGTTGTCCCGCACAGGAATGTGGGAGGATGTTGCCTGCCAGCTGCCACCTCACCCTCCCAGTCCTCCTCCCAGCTGCCTGTCTCCGCCCCTCCCACCAATCTGGATGAATGTTTCTTCTGTAACTCCTTGGTTGTCGGACTTCCGTCCAGTTTGATTTTCTGGCATTTCTGGTTGTTTGTTTTTTTGTTTTAAATTCTTTTGTCTTTCTTTTGGTTGTGCAAGGAGACAGAGTATCTCTATGCCTTCATTTTGGCCAGAAGTAGCTATTTATTTATTTTTAAAGAAAGAGGGAGGGGACTTCCGCCAAGATGGAGGCATAGGTGGATGTGCCGTGCCTTCTCACACAACCAAGATTAGAGACAACTAAATATTAGCAACAGAAAACACAGCCAGAACACAGAAAATTGAACTTTTCGGAAGTCCGTTAACAACAAATTCTTCAGCCTGACCGGTAAGGGGCGAAACCAGCGGCTGGCGGAGCAGGGTTGCACAGGAGGACTCGGCCAGACACACTCAGGCCGGTGGAATCCAGGCGCAGGGTCAGACCTAGTGAGCGACCCAGCGAGCAACCAGGCGACGAGCGACCGCGGGGGAGACAGCCGGGCCCGGGGCTGCGTGTTGACTGAGGTCGCGCATTTGTGCGAGGGTGGACAGGCGAGGGAGTGGGCGGTTGGACCGGGCCGGCAGGTCCCCATGGCAAGCGGCAGTGGAGGGCGCCGCCATTTCCCTGCTCTGACCCCACCTCCACATACAGCGTCATAACCCAGCGACTCTGAGTGGCCCGGCCCAGGTGAACCACCTAAGGCACTGCTCCTCCGCACCCAGCTGTGAGAAGCGGCAGAGGGGCTCGCCATTTCCCCGCTCGGGCCACGCCCCCACATACAGCGTCACAACCCAGCGACCTGGGAATCCAAGGAGCCGCTTCTCACACTTAAAGGGCCAGAACAGACCAAGAATGGCGCAGGAGGATCTCAGAGCCCCAGAGCCAATAAATCTAAGCGATGAAGAAATAGCAAAACTCACAGACGCACAGTTTAAAACATTGGTGATCAGGATCCTCACAGAACTGGTTGATTATACTGACAAATTAGACAAATATATGAAGGCGAAACTAATTGAAATGAATGGAATTGCACAGGACACCAATAGCAATGAAAAGGAAACTGGGACTCAAATCAATGGAGTGGACCAGAAGAAAGCAAATAATGGCCAAACAGAAAAGAGTCAAGAAGCAAGAATTCAAAGAAATGAGGAGAGTCTTAGGAACCTCCAGGACATCTTTAAACGCTCCAACATCCGAATTATAGGGGTACCAGAAGGGGGAAAGGAACAGCCACCAGTGGAAAACTTATTTGAACAAATAATAAAGGAGAATTTCCCCAATCTGGCAAAAGAAATAGACTTCCAGGAAATCCAGGAAGCTCAGAGAGTCCCAAAGAAGTTGGACCCAAGAAGGAACACACCAAGGCACATCGTAATTACATTAGCCAAGATTAAAATGAAGGAGAGAATCCTAGAAGCAGCAAGAGCTAAGGGGACAAGTCACCTACAAAGGAGTCCCCATCAGACTGTCAGCGGATTTTTCAAAAGAGACCTTACAGGCAAGAAGGGGCTGGAAAGAGGTATTCCAAGTCATGAAATCTAAAGACCTACAACCAAGATTGCTCTATCCAGCAAAACTTTCATTTAAAATGGAAGGACAGATAAGGTGCTTCTCAGATAAGATCAAATTCAAGGAGTTCATCATCACCAAGCCCTTATTATATGAAATGTTAAAGGGACTTATCTAAGAAAAAGAAGTTAAAGAAACATGAACAGTGAAAGGACAACAAACTCACAGTTATTAACAACCACACCTAAAACGAAAGCAAACTAAAAGGACAGCTAGAGCAGGAGTGGAAACATAGGAATGAAGATCTCAAGGAGGTTTAGCAACAGGGGAGTGGGAGGAGGAGAAGGGGGGAGAAGGTACAGAAAATAAGTAGCATAGACAGTAGATAGAAAATAGATGGGGGGGGGCAAGAATAGCATGGGAAATATAGAATCTAAAGGACTTGAGACACATGGTCATAAACTAAAGGGGGGGTGATGGTGGGGATGGGGGGTAGGGTGGAGGGGAATAAAGGGGGAATAGAACAACTATAACAGCATAATCAATAAAAAATTAAAAAAAAAAAAAAGAAAAAGAAAGAGGGCCCTGGCTGGTGTAGCTTAGTAGATTGAGCACGGGTTGAGAACCAAAGGGTTGCTGATTCAATTCCCAGTCAGGGCACATGCCTGGGTTGCTGGCCAGGTCCCTCATGAGGGCCACGTGAGAGGCAACCACACATTGATGTTTCTCTCCCTCTCTTTCTCCCTCTCTTCCATCTCTCTAAAAAGTAAATAAAATTTAAAAAAAGAAGAGGGAAGAGGGAGGGAGAAAGACAGAGTGAAACGTGGACGCGCAAGAGAGAAATATCAGTTTACTGTTTCTTGCACGCCCCAAACTAGGGACCTGGCCCACAACCCTCCCTGCCAAGTGCCCTGACTGAGAATTGAACCTGCGACCATTTGGTTTTCAGGCCGATGCTCATTCCACTGGGCCACAACAGCCAGGGCATTTGTGTGTCTTCTTCAGAGAAATGTTTATTTAGAATCTTTGCTCACTTTTTAAAAAATTCTTGTTTTTATTATTTTTTTATTGATTTCAGAGAGAAGGGAATTGGGGGGGAGAAAGAGTGAGAAAAGTATTGACGTGAGAGAAGAACATCAGTCAGTTTCCTCCTGCACGTGCCCCACCTGGGGGCTGAACCTGCAACCAGGGCGTATGTCCTGGTGGGGACAGAGTCTGTGGGCCTTGGTGTGCAGACGACGCTCAACGGACTGAGCCACGCTGGACAGGGCTCTTTGCTCACGTCTCGAGTGGCCTTTTTTCTTGAGTTACCGGAATTTTTTATACATTCTTTTTTTAAAAAAACTTATTGATTGATTGATTTGAGAGAGGGGAAAGCAGTGGGGGGTGGGGGGACACATTAATTTGTTGTTCCACTTACATTTTCATTCATTGGATGATTCTTGTATGTGAACTGACTGAGGATTGAATCCACCACCTTGGTTTGTTGGGAGTTCTTTATATATTCTTCATATGAGTGTCTGAGATAAATGGTTTGTCAGTATTTTCTCCGATGAGGTGGTTTGTCTTTTCACTCTTAAAGGATGCATTTAGAGGGATGTATTTTCCTCTGAACACTGCATCAGCTACTTTCCGTAAGTTTTGACCTGCTGTGTCTTTATTTTCCTTCATCTCAAAGTATTTTCCGATTTCTTTTGTGATTTTCTTCTTGAGTCATTGGTTATTTAGGACTGTTTTGTTTTATTGCCGCATGTTTGTGAATTTCCCAGATTATCTTGTGAGTATTATGGACAATGTATATTTTGCTTCTGTTGAGTAGATGTCTGCTGGGTCTAGTTGATTTATAATGTTCAAGTCTCCTGTTCTTTGCTGGTCTTCTGCCTGGTCGTTCTACCCATTAGTAAACATGGAGCATGGAAACCTTCAACTGTCGTTCGTTTACATCCCCTTTCACTTCTGTTAGCTTTTGCTTCGTGTATTTGAGGCTGTTATTAGTTGAGTGTCTGTTTATGCTTGTTCTGATTGTTTTCTTCCTAGTGGATTCACCCTTTTATCAGTTGTAAAGTGCCCCTCTCCTCCCTTAGGGTTGCCGCTTGGGTGCTGAGTCTTCCTTTAGTGTCAGCCTTTGTGTTTTGAATCCGAAGTGTATCTTCTGTAGAGACAAGTGTATCAGAATCCATTTCAGATGAATACAAATTTAGTTCCAGTGAGAGACAGGAATGTTACGGTTCCATTCCCTCTCTTTGTGCTGCTGTTTCTTTTGGGCAGGGGCTGGGTTATTTGTTTTTTAAGAGAGTAAAGTTTTTATTCATTCTCCAAGAAAGTAGAGGGGCATGATGTGGAGACATGCATTGAGGGGTTGGAGCTTGGAGCTTTTATTGCATTATAATTTGATTTAAAAAGGGTGGGAGTCGCTCTTGTGTTGCCCCTGGGCTGTTGGGGTGTTGTGACCTGAGGCTGCAGCTTGGTTCAGGGTTATTTTCTGCCTTTGGCCGTAGCGAGATGTAAGTTCTGTTGTTTCCACTAATTTCCAGGCCGATCGCTGGCTGCGAAGGTGGGTGAGGAGGCGGCTGTCGTGGAGTCTGGAGAGACAGGAGGGTCGGGTCGTAGTCCTCTCTCCGACCCTCACAGAGACAGGGCTGGGGGCAGACCGGCTGCGCCTCCGCAGCCCACTGCTGCCCTCGTCACCACTCTCAGGAGGACAGAAGAGAGGGGGAATAGCGAGTGCCCCTGTTTGGGCCACCAAGATGTTAGGGCGGTCGGTGAAGAGGACTGGGAAAGCATTCATAGAGAGGAGAAGGCGTGGAGAGTGAAGGTCTTGTTCACGCTCCAAGAAAGGGGAGGGACATGGTGTGGGGAGATACAGCAGCCTGCTGGGTTTCTTTCAGTGTTGGAAAATTTTCCCAAAAAAGCCCTGGTGGGTGTGGCTCAGTGGATTGCGCACTGGCCTGTGAACCAAAGGGTCACCGTTCGATCCCCAGTCAGGGCACATGCCTGGGTTGCAGGCTGGATCCACAGTGGGGGCCACGTGAGAAGCAACCACACATTGATGTTTCTCTCCCTCCCTTTCTCCCTCCCCCCTCTCTAAAAATAAATAAAATCTTTAAAAAAAATTATCTTAATTACTGTTAGTCTCCTGATCACATTTTATATACAGTGGGAGTGCAGTACTCAGTACAGTTAATCTTTCACGGCTGAAGTAGAAGTCTAGACATGCACTTTTGAATCCTCTTTTCACTTCATTTCATACATAAACATTTCCCCTACTGATTGCTGCACAGATACGGTTGGATGCTGTTACGCTGAGTCCCCTTTCTCCCTCCTCTCCCACTCTGCTCCCCTCCTATGTGAAGCAAAGTCTGTTGCCACTTTGCTTCTCGGTGCTGTCATTGCCAAGGTGTGGCGGACCTCACGCCCTGGGGTTTGCTGCTGCAGCCTGGCAGCCGCATCCCTGTTGTGGAGCCAGGGCTGCTGGCGGCGGGTGTGTTGGCTCCGGTGTGACAGGGGCAGCCCTGTCCTTTTGCGTGAGGAGCTCACGGCGGAGCCTTTTCTTTTGGTTTTTCAGGGCAGCCAATGAAGTGCAACCTTCACATGAACGGGAACGTTATCACCTCAGACCAACCCATCCTGCTGTAAGTTCCAGAGGCAGCGGTGCTGGGAGCGGGCTTTCTCCCCGCTTGCTCTGCAGGATGACCTCTTTATCCGAGGGGTACACTGTCTGCCTCACAGCCCCACGCAGTCTAGTTCCTGTGCTCCAAGGGCAGTCTGTCAACCAGGGTGCTTAGATTTGTGCGAAGTGGCTTGTCTCGTTATTACCGCAGGGATTGGCCTCACAGGGGCTGACGTTAAGACCTGTTCCCAGCCTAGTAATCTAGAAACATCTGAGAAGAAAGTGGAGAGCAAGCCGGATGTGCCCCTCTTTGCAAAACTGGGTGCTTTGTCCAAGGGAATGGACAGTTCCACCTCCTGTGGTCGACTTCGCTGGAGCCAGTGCTTCTTGCTGCCACTTGGTTTGTTTCGCACACCTGCGTGCGCGTGCCTGGCCCAGGACAGAGATGCGTAGAATGTCTAGACTGACAGGACACCCTTTATGAGGAGGCCGAGACCCCGGGAGGGTATTAGACTAGCCGGGGTGGGCAGGGCAGTGCAGAGCAGGCCCGAAAGAGACCGCAGTTTAGGAAGACCAAAATGTGGACCCCGGATACTGAATTGTGTAATTTGGACAAGTTTCTTAAACTTGTATTCCAGAACTAAGTTGTATTCTGAAAAGTGTGTCTCCTATGGCTTAGTAAGTTTGGGAACCACGGGGCTAAGCAGGGTTAAGTTGATCTCTTTGCTTCAGGACTGCTCGGCATGTTTAATGCACTGGTGTGTGTGTAGCCCTCCCTGAGGGACATGCGGTGCTTTCTACACCTAAAACTTCTTGGCCCAGGAGAAACAGTCTGGCCACGGCTGGGCCTCGGCCCCCCCTAGGATGCCTCTCGGTTTTCTCATCAGCGAGTTGGAGAGGGTTGTAGGCTACAGGTGCTCAGTAAATGGGGGTCCCTCCCTGTTTGGGGGAAACTGACAAGCTTTGACTCTCCACTGCTCCCCACAGACGGCTGAGTGACAGCCCCTCGGTGAAGAAGGAGAGTGAGCTTCCTCGCAGGGTGAACCCTGCCGCCTCGTCCCACCCTCCCGCCGAAGTGGACCCGGACACCATCCTGAAGGCGCTCTTCAAGTCCTCGGGGGCCTCCACGACCCCACAGCCCACAGAGTTCAAGATCAAACTCTGAGTAGGGAGTGAGGCAGCCAGAGGGGGCGCAGAGGAGAGCAACTCTGCTTCCCAAAGCGACGCTGGTGACCAGTGGGCCGTGGGGCTGGAGCCCCTCGCAGGGGGTAGAGAGCTTCCTCGCTGGACGGGACTGCCTTTCTGTGACGTGTTCTCCCCTGTGCTCCTTGTACGTTAACATTCCCTGTAGTGTGTTTCTTCTCCCTCCACCTCCTCACCAAGGTAGGTTCGTGTTGCTCAGAGTGTCTCTCCTACTGACCTCGGCCCCAAACTGATTTCTTATCTGGAAATACGTCCTAAATTCTCCGTGTGACTTTCTTGTGGCTCTGTGGCATATGGGGCGGGGCTATTCGAAGGACACTCCTTTCTCCAGGGGTAAGGGGCTCGCCTTCCATTTGTATTTTTTAACTTTGCAAACAAAATGGAGAATGGAAGCCTCTGCCATCCTGATGGGGGCCAGGTCAGCTCCAGAGCTGTGCCACCACCCGCCCGGTGGGTGGACGTGGCCAGCATGGGCGTCAGCTCACAGGCCTCTCAGCCTTTCAGCACAGTGTGGCCTGCGGAGGGCCCTGCTGGTGAGCGTGGTGGCGTGGGGGGCACTGCTGCTCTGCTGGGAAGAGGGCGCCCCAACGTTTGGCCTGAGGGTCCGCACTGCCCCAGGCGATACCCAAGGCAATCCCTGGGTCACATCTCCCATTCCCACTGGGTTATGTCAAGGAGGGCCCCCACTCCCGCCAGCTCTTGTGGCCTCTGGTTGTCACTGCTGAGAGGGTTTGCATCGCTGGTCCTTCAACCTAGGCTGATCAGCCTAGTGCTAATCACATCCTGATTTTGCTTTCCCCTAGTTCTGTGACATGGGGTTTGGAGGGTTATTGAAAGGGGAGATGTTGGGCTTGCTCCTGGCGCTTTCTTTCTGGTCTTGGATATCTATAGGACAATAGTTAGGAGTGCTGAGAGCAAATGTGATCGTGACCACCGAGGGGCACGATCTCCATCATTATAAGTGACCCGTCTGTCAGTGACCAGAGAGAGATCCCTGCCTTGGCAATAGCGGGGAGGGGAGTGGTGGGTGGTGAGGAGGGATGGAGAGAGTAGAGCAGCCCTTCCAGGCAGGCAGTGGGTCAGTCCCTCAGCGTGATTCCAGGGAGCCAGGCAAATCTGTAGAACCCAGGGCAGCTCTGACAGTATTGCTCCAGAGACATTATCTGTCCTCCACCAGTTTTTTTGGACTGTAAAGGGCCAAGCTGACAAAGCCAGAGAGAGTTGGGGAGCGGGATTCTGGGAGCTCTGCAGAGGCAGCAGCAAGATTTGTGAAAGGCACAAGCCTAGAAAAGAAAGGGGGCTGAGGCACTGAGAACCTCCGTTTGGGGCCAGCGCAGTGAAGAAAAACCCAGACAGTCATGTTTCCACGGAGGTAAATCTGTCAGACAGGAAAGACCTGGGGTTTGAGCCCGCCCTCCAGTTCTGAGGTTGCCCAGGTCAGTCCGAGGAATGTGCCTGGTGGTGCTCCACTTCCCTGTTCTTAGAGGGTGCAGGTTTTGTTCCCTTCTTCCCCTTTGAATGGGTGCACATTTAATTCTCAGCAGCTGGAAGACATTCCTCCTACACTTTCCTGAAACTTCTTGGCCCAGGAGAGCACCTGAGACAGTAAGACCTGATCTCGCAGGTCTGAGCCCAGTCTGGCCACGGCTGAGCCTTGGCTCCAAAAGGTGGTTGGAAACATCCTGCCCACCGGTTCTTCCCTCCCCTCCCTCCAGTCCCATGCCAGCTGCTCTGTTGCCAGAGTTCGCTGAGCCAGCTGCAGCCCTGGCCATCTGGACCTGATCCTTGGGACGGCCGTGTGGTCCATTGTGGGAAGAAGCCTGTCCGCCTCCTCTGGTCTGGATGGCATCGTGGAAAAGAGGGAAGAGAAGGCGGTGGGCCAGTCCTGTGTCCTTAACTTGCTACTTCCCTACATTTTTCCATCTTGTGTCTCTTCTGTTCAAAAGAAGAGGAAGAGGCCTTAAGGGATGGAGGAGACTCTGTTACTTAATACATTTCTGAATAAATGTTTGTTATTCCTACCTTTGAGCTGTTGTTTCTTCATAGATTTTACTAAGTGGCCTTGTGGTTCTTGGGATCAGAAACAGGCAATGGCCTTTGCTTTGCATTCACTGACTCTGGGCTTGGAGTTGCTCACAGCATGCCTGCCCCCGAGTCTGCGCGTCTGAGGAAAGGGGCGGGGCACTGTGGGGGCACCAGGCACGGGCTCACGTCCTCCGGGGCCCAGTGCCTCGCTGGGTGTTGGGCATGGTTGGCTCCAGCAGAGCCTTGGGCCTGGGCAGAATGGTGCTTTTTGTCTTGGTTTAAAGAAGTTAAACACAGAAATTTAACCTCTTAGAGCAACTGTGCATTGGGGGAAAATCTTTTTAATGTAGTAAAATACACAGACATTGTATTGACTTAACCGTTCTTCAGTACACAGTGCATTGGTATTACATACACACACAGTGTTGTACAAGCCTCGCCCCATCCGTCCCTGTAAAGCTTTCATCTCAGAGCCGCTGCTCTGTACCCACTAGACGCTAACGCCCCGTCTGCCTTCCGCCGGCCTGACGACCACCACTCCACTCTCTGTCTTTGTGATTGTAATTGCTCACACAAGTGTGGCTATACGTATTTGTCTTTTTCTGGTGGCTGCTTTTCACTCGACATGTCTTCAAGGTTCATCTGTGTGGTAGCATGTGTCAGAATTTTCTCCCTTTTTAAGGCTGAATAATATTCCATTGTGTCTGGACACCACATTTTGCTTATCCAGCTGTCCATTGAGGGACCTCAGGTTGCTTCTGCATGGTGGCTATTGTGAATAATGCTGCTGTGCCCGCAGTTTACAGATAACTCCAGACCCTACTTCCAACTCCTTGGGGCATTCACCCAGAAGTGGAGTTGCTGTATTCTATGTTAATTTTATTGTTAATGTTGTGAGGAATCATTAATCTCCACAACAGCCGCACCATTTGACATTTCCAAAATGAAACACTTCCACTTCTGGGAAGAGGAAAATGGTTGGGGACCTTGGAACCCAAGGAACGACTCCCACTGAGTTCCCCGAGTTTTGGTTTTGCTTGACGTATCCCAGATTGTGTGCTGGAGAAGCAAGCAAGCAAACCCCCCAAGGACCTGAAAAGGGAAGCAGACTGAGAACCAGCCCAGAGCTTCACCAGCAAAGGCCAGATTAGGAGCCTTGACTTCCAGCCTCCCTGCTGTATGGGGGTACCCCAAAATCTCTTGCTGGGGTGGTGCCAGGCCAAGTGAAAAACTGGAATGTCTGGTTCCTATCAGCAGAGGCCACATGAGGAGAGGTGAGGCACCCCAGCCCCTTCCAACCCAGGTGCTAACAGCAGATGTGTGGTGGGGTGATAGCCCTCACTCCGCCCAGAAGTCACTAGGAGACACTGCCACCCGGGTACCAGCACGCCTCGTGAGGAACCCAGACACCCCGCACCGGGCAGCAATGAAGTGCTGTTCGTCCCCGTCACAGACGGCCCACTGCCGAAGCTTGAAGTAGATCTGGGGTACTCAGAATACCCGAGACGTCCACACTTCAGGGGAAAGTCACTCACACTGAGGACCAGGAAGATGGCAACTTGGAGGAAAGACAGTTGACGCAGTATGAAAATGTCAGATATGGTGGAATTACCTGACAAGGATTTAAAAGCAATAATTATAAAAGTCAAGACATTATGGGACTTCTGCCAAGATGTAGGCATAGGTGGATACGCCGTGCTTCCTCACACAACCATGTTTAAAGACAACAAAATATTAGCAACAGAAAACACAGCCAGAACACAGAAAATTGAACTTTTCGGAAGTCTGATAACAATGAATGCTTCAGCCTGACCAGTAAGAGGGGCGAAACCGGCAGCTGGCGGAGCGGGGTTGCACAGGAAAACTCGGTCAGATGGGCTCAGGAGTGCGGATCCCTGGTGTGGGGTTGCAAAGGGCAGACCCAGTGAGTGACCCAGTGAGTGACCCGCGGATCTGGCAAGGGCTCTGGGCAGCGTGTTGACTGTGGTGCCGCATTACTGCGCAGATAGACTGGCAAGGGAGTAGGCAGTGAGACGGGACCAAGTGGGCCTCAGCGGCAGGCACCAGCAGAGAGGGCCACCATTTCCCCACTCTGACCCCGCCCCCACATACAGCACCACAACCCAGTGACCTTGCCCTGGTGGCCACGCCCGGCCCCTAAGGCTCCACTCCTCATACTTAACAGGCTCGAACAGACCAAAAATGGCTCAAGAAGATCTCAAAGCCCCAGAGCCCATAACTCTAAGCGATGAAGAAATAGCAAAACTTTCAGATGCACAGTTCAAAACTGGTCATCAGGATGCTCACAGAACTAGTTGATTTTAGTCACAAATTAGAGGAACATATGAAGGCTAAACTAATTGAAATGAAGGGAACTACACAGGAAACCAATAGTGATGAAAAGGAAACTGGGTTTCACATCAAGGGAGTGAACCAGAAAGAAGGAAAAAATGACTGAACAGGAAAATATGAAGAAACAAAAATTCAAAAAAATGAGGAGAGACTTACGAACCTCCAGGACATCATTAAATGCTCCAACATCTGAATTATAGGGGTACCAGAAGGGGGAAAGGAACAGCCACCAGTGGAAAACTTATTTGAACAAATAATAAAGGAAAATTTTCCCCAATCTGGCAAAAGAAATAGACTTCCAGGAAATCCAGGAAGCTCAGAGTCCCAAAGAAGTTGGACCCAAGAAGGAACACACCAAGGCACATCATCATTACATTAGCCAAGATTAAAATGAAGGAGAGAATCCTAGAAGCAGCAAGAGCTAAGGGGACAGTCACCTACAAAGGAGTTCCCATCAGATTGTCAGCTGATTTCTCAAAAGAGACCTTACAGGCAAGAAGGGGCTGGAAAGAGGTATTCCAAGTCATGAAATCCAAAGACCTACAACCAAGATTACTCTATCCAGCAAAACTTTCATTTAGAATGGAAGGACAGATAAAGTGCTTCTCAGATAAGATCAAATTCAAGGAGTTCATCATCACCAAGCCCTTATTATATGAAATGTTAAAGGGACTTATCTAAGAAAAAGAAGATAAAAAAAAATGAACAGTGAAAGGACAGCAAACGCACAGTTATTAACAATCACATCTAAAACGAAAGCAAACTAAAAGGACAGCTAGATCAGGAGTGGAAACATAGAAATGAAGATCACATGGAGGATTTAGCAACAGGGGAGTGGGAGAAGGAGAAGGGGGGAGAAGGTACAGAAAATAAGTAGCATAGACGGTAGGTAGAAAATAGGGGGGCAAGAATAGTATGGGAAATAATGAATCTAAAGAACTTGAGACACATGGTCATAAACTAAAAGGGGGGAATGGTGGGGGTGGGGGGTGCAGGGTGAAGGGGAATGAAGGGGGGAAATAGAACAACTGTAATGGCATAATCAATAAAGTAAAAATTAAAAAAAAATTATGAACACACTTCAGCTCTCTCTCTCCTGGCAGGCGGCAGTGGTTCGTTCAGACATGGCCGAAATTAAGGCTCGAGACCTTTGCGGCAAGAAGAAGGAGGAGCTGCTCAAACAGCTGGACAACCTAAGGGTGGAACTGTCCCAGCCGCGTGTCACCACAGTGACAGAGGGCGTGGCTTCCAAGCTTTCTAAGATCTGAGTTGTTGGCAAATCCATCGCCCATGTTCTCACTGTCATTAACCAGACTCAGAAAGAGAACCTTAGGAAATTCTACAAGGGCAGGAAGTACAAGCCCCTGGATCTGTGGCCCAGGAAACCCCGGGCCGTGCGCCGCCGGCTCAGCAAGTGTAGACTTGAAGACCAGGAAGCAGCAGCGGAAGGAGCGGCTGTACCCGCTGCAGAAGTACGCGGTCAAGGCCTGAGCATCACAGGGTCAATAAAGCACAAACTGGCTCAAAAAAAATTATGAACACACTTCAAACAAGTAAATAAAAATCTCAGCAAAGAAATAGGAAATAGAACCATTTCGAGTTGAAAAATAACAAGAAAAACAATGGGGGAAAACAGTGAGCTGAGGTAAAGCTATAGAAATTACACAAGCTGAACAACAGAAATAACTTCAGGGACCTCTAACAAGAAATCTAAAATCTGTCATCAGTCCCAGGAGGAGAGAAAAAAGGAAGAGCTTAAAGAGTTGAAGAAATTATGGCTGTAAACTTCCTAGAAATAGCAAAAGATAAAAACCTGCAGATTGAGGCAGCTCAGGGGAACCCATATAAGATAAATCTAAAGAAAGTCCCACCAGGACACATCATAAGAAAAGGGCAGTTTTCAGACTTCTGAAAACTAGAGACAAAATATCTTGAAAGCAGCGAGAGAAATGTTGCCTTGTGTGTAGGAAACAGTAATTTGAATGACAGCAGACTTCTCATTAGGAACCAGGAGTTCAGAAGGAATGGCACGCTTTTCGAGTATTGCAAGAAAAATACTGACTAAAAATCCACTTCTAGCAAAAATATCCTTCAGGAATTAGGGTGAATTTAGACATTATCAGATGAAGGAAAGCTAGGAGAATTTGTTGCCAGCACACCTGTCCTGAAAGAATGGCTCAGGAAGTTCTCCAAGAACCCTGGCTGGTGTAGCGCAGTGGATTGATTGAGCACTGGCCTGCAAACCAAAGGGTCACCAGTTTGATTCCCAATCAGGGCACATGCCTGGGTTGCAGGCCAGGTCCCCAGTGGGGGACACACGTTGATGTTTCTCTCCCTTTTTCTCCCTCCCCTTCTCTAAAAACAAGTAAATCTTTTTTAAAAAGTTCAAGAGACAGACTCATAGATAAACAGCAGTCTGACAGCTGTGTGTGTCTGTCTGTGTGTCTGTGTGTGTGTGTAGGGGTAGATTTGTGAGGTAGAGGGATTGAGGAAAAACAAAAAGCCCTATTGAGGCCATTCGGCTGTTAAAGTGTCACCCCACACACCAAGTTTTCAGTTTTATCTCCTGGCAGGTCACGTGCAAGAATCAACCAAGGAATGTATATCAAATAAGTGAAACAACAAATCATTCTTTCTCTTTCTCTTCCTCTTCCTATCTTTCTCTAAAATAATCAATTTAAAAAAATTTAAACCTATATGCAGATTAATGGGATGGAATGGACAGTCCAGACATAGAGCCCCACCCACCTGGTAGTTTAATTTTCAACAAGGTGCCAAGACAACTGAGTGACAGAGTACTCGGTTCAATAAACGGTTCAAAGATAACTGGATACCCACAAAAAATAATTCATCAAAATTAAACGCATCTTTGCTTTAATGGATGAATTTAATGAAGGAAAGAGACAACCTACAGAAGAAAATACTTGCAAATCATAATTCTGTTGAAGGAATTAAATCCAGAAAAAACTCTTACCTCTCAAATGATAAAAAGACAACCTAACTGGGCAAAGGATTTCAGTAGATATTTCCAGGAAGGGAGGGAGGGAGGGAGGAAGAAAAAGACAAGTGGCCACTGAAAATACGCAAAGAGGTTCAAATCTTTTGGTCATCAAGAAATGCGAATCAAAATGCCAAGAGACACCCTGGCAAGTAGGATGGCAACAATCAGAGTTGGACCCTAAGAAGTATTGGTGGGATGTGGAGAAGGTGGAGCCCTCATGCATCGCCGCTGAAAGTATAAAATGGTACAGCCACTTTGGAAAAAAATTTGGCAGTTTTCCAAACAAAATTAAACAATTGCTATATGACCCAGAAATCCCACTCCTACTCAATACCCAAGGAAACTTAAAAATGACTGTACAAAATTTTACACAAATGTTGATAGCAACATTATTCATTACAGCCAAAATTATAAACGACCCAAATATTCATTGATAGATGAGTGGAAAAGAGCACTGTGGACCATCCATCTGTGGACAGAAGAATGTTCACACCTGTAGGAAATTTTATGAGTTTATTAGAGGTATTTGGGCAAACTGAAGATAGGCCCAGAAGTAAGCTTGGAATAGATTGAGAAATGCCCCAGAAGATGGCAGTTTGGCAGTCCTTTTTATGCGTTCAAAATCCAAGGAGGAAACACAAGAAAGATGACAAATCCACTGATGGTGGGTGAAGGAGAGGAATAAAGCAAAGCAGGAAATCTTTAGAATTAGATAAAGTCAAATTAAGAGAACATGCACAGTAAATACAGATGAAATACAACAAAATCATATGCTCCATTGAGGGGCCTGAAAAAGAGGATTACTGCGACATTTCAAAAGTGTGTTAGCCTAGACACACGAAACCAGAGCTGGCTTAGGGCAAAGGTGCACATTTTACCAAGGAAGCTGGAGGCCTGGGGACTACCCATGGCCTGCCCTGTTAGGGATTTATGATCAGATCTCCCTGTGTGGTCACTTTTGGTTGCTGAGCTTGTCAGATTCACTTCGTAGTTCCTTGGTCATTCACTACACAGCCATGTGCCCTGACAGAATAGTGTTGGCAGCCTATGGGTTTGCAGGACAACGCCCAAGCCAGTGAGGCACACCAGTCATGGTACATATACTGTAAAACAGTTACTGTTCTGTGTGTATTCTATCTCAATAAAACATAGAAACATTACTGACTGAATCAACAAAAATACTGCCTCACTACGCTGCAGTTTCAGCACGACAGCAGAGAGGACTGCTGTTTCCTCCACGTGTTCACTCCTGTGGCTTCATTTCATCAGTTCAGCTGCGGCGAGAACATCCAACGCACCTTCACGCAGGTGACCATCGCCTGAGCTGCAGCGTCCCTTCCCATATGCAATCTCACATTCAGAACTATAGAGTGAGCTTTTCCACGTGCCCGGATCCCAAGAGGGTGGAAGCTATGAGCATCCCTCCTGTGCTTCAAAACCCCAGTATAGGACTTCTATCACGTTCTGTTGTCAGAGCAAGTCCCAAGTATAGCCACATTCAAGAGGGCACGTAGACTGCACCTACTCATGCAAGGAATGGCCATCTTAGTTTAAAAATCTCTTAACAGCCCTGGCTGGTGTGGCTCAGGGGATCAAGTGCTGACCTTTGAATTAAAGGGTCGCCACTTCAATTCCCAGTCAGGGCACATGCCTGGGTTGCAGGCCAGGTCCCCAGTGGGAGACATATGAGAGGCAGCCACACACTGATGTTTCTCTCCCACTCTTCTTCCCTTCCCCTCTCTAAAAAAATAAAATATTTAAAAAATAAAATCTTTAAAAAAATTGCCCACAGATGCCATTTGGACATGAAATTACTGGACCTTTGCTTCCAACAACAACCAGAACCAGGTAATATGGAAAAGCCTCCCCCTCCATACACCTAGAAACTCTTCACATAACAAACAACCTTCCTTCCATGGCTGTGCACCCAGGAAAATAAGAATGCTCCAGGCACAAAAATGAAGAGTCCGCACACTGGAACCTTAAGTTAGATCGAAGCTATGGCTGCCACAAAAATATCTGTTGGTCACCAAGGACTTAACCACTGGTTTCCAAAGGCTGAAGGGGGGACGGGGGACAGGGCTATTGGCCCACACCAAGGAGCTACTGGCACTTGTAGTCTTGCATCAAATTCCCTTCCTGGTGTCTGCTGGGATCACTTACCAAATAAACTCCTTGTGCCCGAATCCCTGTCCCCAGGTCTGCCTGATGGTGGGAGAACCCACTGTAAAGCAGTTGGTCCCAGAAGGGAGCCTAAGCGATCCTCAGAACTGGGGCCTGGATGGGGAAGATCTCACCAACCCGATGGCAACAAAGACCCAGCAGCTGATGGTAACTGGGGGCTGGGGGGGGGGGGGAGGCGGAGAGGGCGGTGGATGAAGCTGGCTTAGAAGAGTGGCCATTCTCTGCTGTAAGAGGTGGGTCTGTGCCCCTCTGAGTCTGAGTGGGCTATGCTACTGATTTGAGCAGATGGGACTCAGCCAGCTTCTGGGCCCAGACTTTGAAAGACTGGCAGTACCCCCACTTCCTGCCCCTGCAGACTCTCTGGGGTCCCTGAGCCACCAGGGAGGAGGACTGCCTCCTGAGCCCACGTTCTGGGAAAGCCATGGGAAAGTTCCAGCTGACAGTCCCACACGGGCCCAGCCTTCCAGCCACCCAGCTAAGGTGGCAGCCATGCGAGTGAGGCTGACTTGGACCCTGCAGACCAGCCCACATGCCAGCTGAATACCGAGGGCCATTGGTCAATACCCTGTGGAATCACCTAGTTGAGCCCTGCCCAAATCCCTAACCCACAAAGTCTCGAGATACAAGAAAATGGCTATGGTTTTCTGAAGCATCAGCTAGCAATGCATACCCCTGTGCTGAGCCATCACAATGACTAGGACATCTCTTCTGCACTGAATGGGGACACACAGGGGAAGGCGGGGCACTGTAAACGACAGCCCCCGCCTTCCAGTTCCAAGCACACAGAAACTAACACTAGCCCTGGATTTCTCCTTTTCCCTCACATTGAGTGTCCAATCTGTCAGCAATTCCTATTGGAATTCTTCAGACACACCCAGAACCCGGCCGCCTCTCATCACCGGGATGGGCAGCACCCTAGTGACCAAGCCATCATCTTTCCTCTGGATTGTTGCAATGGTGTCCTACACCATCCTGCTGCCACCCTTGCCCTCCAAGTCTAATTGCAATGTCACAGCCAGAATGACTGTTCCACATCACCCCTTGCTGCTGAAAACCCCACAGTGGCCCCAAGCCACACAGGCAGACTAACCAAGTGCTTCTGGTGGTCTGCTGGGCCCCTCAGACTGTCCTCTGGCTCACTGCGCTCCAGCCTCTAGCACACCAGGAAGGCTCCGGGCTCAGGGCCTCTGCTCTTGCCGTTCCCTCTGCTCAGAATGTTTTCCCAACACACGAATGAATGCCTTTCTCCCTCATCTCCTTCAAATACTTGCTCAACTATCAGTTCAGTGAAGCTTTTACCAATTGAAAATTGTAACACCGCCCCTCACCACACTCCCCTCTTGCTTCATTTATCTGTTCAGCACTTTGCATTGTTGCATATGATCTGTATTTTGCTTCTATGAGTACTTATTGTTCTTGTCCCCCGATACAATATAAATTCCAGGAAGGCTGGGTTTTATTTCACCTCTGTATCTCCAGCACTTAGGACAGTGCCTGGAACTTTCACTGGTATTTGTGGAATGCATGAATGAACGAATGGAAGTGAGTTCGCACCTGAGAACGGCCCTGTGCACGCCTTAAGTTACTTGCACATTTACGCGTTGACTTCATTCTGGGCAAAGGAACGCTGGGCGCTGGGATGACCTGGGCCAGAGAAGCCAGCCCAAGACCAAGAGGGCGGGAACAACCGGCGGCGCGGCGCTCTCGCTCATGCGCAGCTACCAGCCTCCGACTTCAACTCCCAGCAGCCCGCGCTGCTTCCGGTGGGCAAGATGGTGGCGCGCAGGAAGAAGCGTGCCCCGCAGAACTCTGAGGATAGAATCCCGAGCCCACTGGGCTACTCAGGTGAGGGGTTGCGGGACACGGGCCAAGTATGGCCGGGCTCTGCCCAGAGGCGTCTTGGGGGTCGGCGGTGGCCCGGCATTTTGAGGGGCCCAGGCTCGTCCGAGACCTCCGGGGCACCTTGCTGTGGTCTAGGTTACTCTCCCGGGACGAGCCCGTTAAGCCAGCGCTGCCCGTGGGAGAAGCCGCCTCTGTCCGCGCTCCCTCGCGGGCGTGTCCTTCTCCACCCGCCCCCTCGGTGAGCACCTGTACCCCTCGTTGGTCCCTCCAGCTGCAGGTCCCTGCCCGGCTCCCTCCAGCTGTGCCTTGGGCCGGACGTGCCGGTCTCATTGCGTCTGCTGCTCGTGTTCTCGTCCCTACCTCTGTTCTCCACCAGGCGCCGGCAGGTTCTTTCTGCAGTGAGATTGAAATGAGATCTGGCCGCACACGCGCACCTCTGTCCCCCATCCCAGCCTCCTGAGCTGCCTGCAGCGGCCTCCTTAGCACCTACACTCAATCCGAACGTGCCACCGCTGACCCGCCTGTCCCCACCCGTCCTGCCGGTGCCCTTTCCCCCGAGTTTCTACTACAGCTGTGCCCTGACTGTTGGCCGCTTTGTGCCCCAGCCTCCCTGAAAGGGGCCTTCCGGGCGCTCATCTAAAGGCCTCGGCCCCCGGTGTCCGCGACTGCTGCACCCTGTGTCTTTGGTATTTGGTGCAATGTTGTTTCCTGCCTCCTTCTTGCCTGGCTTCCCCATCATTGTGTGAGTGCAGGGAAGCTATATCCCCACTGCCCTCCGAAGAAGGTGGGGAGAGAAACGGAAACCCCCCCGTAGCTTTATGAGGATTAAAATGTATAGGGTCCTGGCCCGTGGGGCTCAGCTGGTTGGAGTAGCCTCCCTTGCGGGTGAAGGTCGCGTGTGGGATTCCGCAGCAGGGCAAAAGCCAGGGTTGCAGGTTTGTCTTCAACTGGGGCGGCATACAGGTGTCAGGTGACTGGTGTGTCTCTCATTGATGTTTCTCTCCCTCTCTCCCTCCTTTCCCTGCTCTCTTAAAAAAAATTAAAAAAGAAAATATGAAGGATTATCCGTATAATCATACAAATACAGATCTAGAACCTTAAGAGAATGTGGAAGGTCTAGAGCTGGTGGGTCTAAGCTGGCAGGTGTGCGGAGTGGTGGGGGCTGATGGTGTGAGAAGGTGCCCTGGGCCTGCTGGGCCTGCAGAGAGGGGAAGGGTTTTGGTGTTTGCCCCTCTAGGGGGAGGAGTGACCTTTGCCCCCTGCAGCAGGGGTGACCTTTCCCCTCGTTTCACTGCCCACCTGTGATAATTGCCCGCTTGCCTTCTGTCTCCTCCACCAGCTTGGGGGCCCCTCCTCCAGACGCTTTGCTCATTCACTCTCAGCCTGTGAGCACCCTGCCCAGGCCTTGCCTGGAGGAAGGTCTTGGGGAAGGAGGCAGATGGGAGTAGAAAGGGAAAGCCTGCCCTGGCTGGTGTGGCTCAGTGGACTGAGCACCGGCCTATGAACCAGAACATCACGGGTTTGAATCCCAGTCAGGGCACATGCCTGGGTTGCGGGCCAAGAGGCAGCCCATTGACGTTTCTCTCACATGTTGATGTTTCCCTACCTCTCTTTCTTTCTCCCTTCCACACTCTCTAAAAATAAATGGTTAAATCTTTAAAAACAAAGAAAGAAAGGGACAGCCTGAACCTGACTTTTGTGCCACCCCTCCCTGCCCCTTTTCTTTCCAGCGGTTCCGATCAAGTTCTCTGAAAAGCAGCAGTTTTGTCACTACCTGTATATGAGAGAGCACAGAGTTCGAGAAGGCACCAAGTCTTCCTGGCCTCAGAAGAGGACCCTTTTTGTCCTCAATGTGCCCCCGTACTGCACAGAGGTGAGCTGGTATCTGGGAGGGAGTCTGTGAACTCAGGTGGCGCTTTAGGCAGAGCAAGGCTCCCACTGTTCCCCACCAAGTCCTTAGTGGGGACAGAGGCCGATAAATGAAGCCCCAAGGGAAGGGTCTAGATGGCAGTCTCTCCCTCCTGACAGGGAATTTGCTTTCTAAATGTGTCCTTTTGGGCCCTGGCTGGTGGATTGAGCACCTGCCTGGGAATCAAAGGGTCACTGGTTTGATTCCCAGGCAGGGCACATGCCTGGGTTATGGCAAAAATAAAATAAAATCTGTTTTTAAAAAACACACCAAAAAATGTACTTTTAAAAATATATCTGCCCTGGCTGGTGTGGCTCTGTGTATTGAATGGTGGCTTGGGAACAAAGGGTCGCCAGTTCAGTCCCCACTCAGGGCACATGCCTGGGTTGCAGGTCTGGTCCTCAGTAGGGGGCGGGGGAGAGGCAACCACACAGCGATGTTTCTCTCCCTCTGTTTCTGCCTCCTTCCCCTCTCTCTAGAAATAAATAAATGAAATCTTTTTAAAAATGCAGTTGTAAGGAACATAAAGTGCAAGGCTTTTTATGATTACGTAGAAGTGTTTCAGTTGCATGTTGTTTTTTACCTGGTTGTGAAAGTGGTGCGTGTCCATAGTAAAGAATAGAAGTCCCTGGCCGGTGGGATTAATGGACTGAGTGCTGGCCTGTGTATCGAAGGGTCACCAGTTCGATTCCCAGTCAGATCACATGCTTGCTTTGTGGGGCCAGGTCCCCACTGAGAGGTGTGCTAGAGGCAGCCACACTTTGAGGTTTCTCTCCCTCTCTCTCCTCCTCTTCCCCTCTCTCTAAAAATAAGTAATATCTTTTTAAAAAAAGGAATAGGCAAAGTATGAGAAGATAAAGTTACTTCTAAATCTATCTGTGTGTATCAACCGTTTTTCACAAAAACTGTTAAATTTAGTATTATGTAAATTAACAGAAGGGAAACTATTATTTTTCAAAAAAGAAAGACCAGTTTCTCAAAGATTATAGTTAAAACACTTAAAAAATAAAGGATGGCAGTTAAGTAGATGAAAACACTGAGAGGCCAGGGTGTCATTTTTAGCCGTTACTCCCAAGTGCTGTGTGTGCAGGGGGAGGGCGGGGCCAGAGGCGTACAGCCCGGGCGTGGCACAGACTGGACACGCCCTGTGATCAGCGCCCAGGTGCAGAAACAGCACCACCTGCACCCAGGCTTCCCCGCGCCCCTCCCCCCAGCCAGGCCGAGCAGCCTGCTGACTCCAACAGCATAGATTTAACTTGCTGAATTGTAAATGGCTGATTCAGGTGGAGAGATTTACTTGGTTGCTTCATAAACTAAGAATACTCAGAATAACGCCAGAATGTCCCCATCTATTCTTGTAATATGTTTCTTTTTAAAGATTTTATTTATTTATCTTTAGAGCTGAAGGGAAGGAGAGAGGGAAAGAAATATCAATATATGGTTGCTTCTCGTGCGTCCCCTGCTGGGAACTGGCCTGCAACCCAGGCATGTGCCCTGACCACAGTTGTTTGCTTTGCAGGCTTGCGCTCAATCCACTGAGCTATACCAGCCAGGGGTATAATGCCTGTAATAATTTTTTTTTTTAATTGAGGACCTACTCCTACTTTTGGGATCATTTATCCAAAGAAATTGACAGGAAAGACGAATCTTTCAGGTGGATGCGCTTTCAGGGAGAGAGAAGGGTCCCTTTCGCTTTGGTGAGAAACCCAAACACATCCTGAGCACGTGCTTCCCGAAGGGTCCTGTCAAAGCCAAAATTCTGATCCCCGAATTTCGTCTCTCACTCCATCCTCCTGAGCACCCTGGCCAGCAAAGGGGTACTTTTACCCACAGTTTTTGTCGTGCCAATTGACAAGGTTTTTGTCTTGGGCCCCAGGAGGGTAGGATGTTAACCTCCATGTTGAGGAGGGTGTGTGTTGCCCAGGCCTCCCCTGTGTGCCCCTGGCTTAGGCCCAGATGTGGGGTCCCAGACCTGCAGGGTGGAGGGAGGCTCCTGCAAGGAGCCACTGACCCCCTGCAGCCACTCACACTGTGCTTCTGGGACCGTGGCAGGAGTGCCTGTCCCGCCTCCTCGCCCCGTGTGGCCCCGTCCAGTCAGTGGAGTTTCACGGGAAGCCCGAGCTCACCGATAGCCCGAAGGAGCCAAAGTCGAAGTTTTTCCACCCCAAGCCCGTTCCGGTGAGCCTGCAAGCGCTGGGTCTTTGAGAATGGGGGAGGTGGGTGGGGCTGGGGCAGTCGCCCCAGCATGGGAGGGGGAGGTGGCGCCGGCGGCGGTGGGACATTCCCAAGTATTCCCTGCGTGGTCCAGGAGGTCTGGCAGGTGAAGAGCCCCACCCGCACCCCAGACTCGCCACACCCTTCAGCTTCCTGCTGGCTCTCTCTGTTGTCCTGGGCGGAAGCTCAGAGCCCATTTCTGAGGTCCCCCACCAAGCTCCCCGTCCGCAGCTGCTGCTTCTCAGGCCTCATGGCCCCGTAGTCATTGTCCTGTGTCCCCTGAGCCCACACCTTCTCCCGGGACAGCGTGAGTGTTCACCCCAGGCCTGGGGGGTGTGCATTTTCTTTGAGCCCCTCCCGTGACTGGAAGACAGGCCCCTGGTAGGGACTTCCAGCACAGGGTGGGTGACCAAGGAGCGCAGCCATCCGCCTCTGGTCATCTTCACAGTCCAGGGACAGCCCAGCACGCTGCCCCTGGTTCAGGGACAAGTGAGGGGAGGGCGGGCAGAGCCCCTTGTGCCGGACACGGTGGTTGGAAGAACGGGGGGCTGCCAGTGCGGTGACACCACTCGCTCCCTGCAGGGGTTCCAGGTGGCCTATGTGGTGTTTCGGAAGCCCGGTGGGGTGGCGGCCGCCATGGCCCTGAGGGGCCCTTTGCTGGTGTCAACGGAGAGTCACCCCGTGCAGAGTGGCGTTCACAGTCAGTACCTTGGGGGGTGGGTGCCTCTGTCCTGGGCCCCAGGCCGGTGGGGAGGCTGGGTGGGGCGGCCTCTGTCTGAGGTGTTCGCCCAGCCTGAGGGCAGCGTGAGGGGGGCACAAGCCTGGTCTCCCGTGGGCAGAGGTGAGGGCCCAGCGCGCCACCACCACAGCCTTCCTTCCCCCCCCCCCCCCGGGCTGTCATCTCCGTGACTGTGCTGTGATAGGCCAACTGGCCCTGCATGTCCTGGGGTGGGGCCCCAAGTGTCAGCCTGAGGAAGCCCGTCCCCCTCGCTCCCTTCTCCCTCAGAGTGGATCCGTGACTACACAGACTCCGTCCCGGACCCGGAGGCCCTGAGGGTTGACGTGGACACGTTCATGGAGACGTATGACAAGAAGATAGCCGAGGTGAGGCTTCCGGGGGGCGTGGGGTTGCAGTCTGTCCTGGTCACCGCAAAGACTCCAGACTCTTTTCCCTGCCGAGTCTGGGTCACCTGACGTGGTGACATCCAGTCCCAGGGTCTGCAGGGAACCATCTGCTGCAGGCGGAGGCGGTGTCACATGGCAGGCGGGTCCTCACCGCGCCCCACACCCCCGCCCATCGTGGGCAGCAGCACCCTGTCGGGGCGGGGGAGCAGCCGTGTCACTGGGGCCCAGGTTCTGGGTGTGCGGGGTCAGGAGGCAAGGAGAAGAGGGAGCCGGGAGGCGCTCCTGTGGCCGCGGAATGGGTCCAGGTGCCACGACAGGGTCGTGTTCCTCGCAGGAGGAAGCTAAGGCCAAGGAGGAGGAAGGGGTCCCTGACGGCGAGGGCTGGGTGAAGGTGACCCGCCGAGGTCGGCGGCCCGCGCTGCCCCGGACGGAGGCGGCCAGCCTGCGGGTGCTGGAGAGGGAGAAGAGGAAACGCGCCCGCAAGGAGCTGCTCAACTTCTACGCCTGGCAGCACCGCCAGACCAAGATGGAGCGTAAGGGCGCGCCCCCCACCTGTCCTCCCGTCCCACAGCTCGCAGTGCCGGCCCCACGGACAGGGCACAGAGTCCAGGGGCAGGCGCTGGCCCTGGGGGCAGGGCCAGGGGGTCCTTAGGCCCAGACTTCCCCACGGCCTTTGGGGTTGGGGTCTCAGCCACAGCACCAGAGTGGTGGTTGCTCCCCAGAGGTGGCTCTGGGGGCCCCTGGGTTGCTTAGGTGCCGTGGAGGCAGCTGGGGGGTGGGCCCCACACAGCCGGGACGCTGAGCAGTCAGTCCGTGCTGGCGCCAGATTGCAGAGGGTGGACCTCGGGTGTTCGCTATGGGCACAGAGAGGGCCACTGGCCTGCATGCGTGGGCGGGTGCGTGGGTGTCTGGGGCGGGAGGCTGGGTGTGGAGAGTGCCTCAGAGCGAGGGGCTGCTCGCCGGCCGCTGGCTCCAGGCAGGGGTGCAGCTGTGTGCGGCTCCATCCCCCGTCCCCCTTCTGCAGCACAGCTTCCCTGCAGGCTGAGTGAGGAGAGGGTCCTGCCCCTGCCCGTGGGGCCCCCCACCTCACTGCTCCTCCCTGCACTGCACACCCTCTTGCTGTGTCTCCACTGCTGCCCTCCTGCTCTCTAGAATCACCTGGCAGTGGCAGCGAGCCTCTGGGCCCCACAGACCCCTCAGCCCTGGTCACCCAGCCTCCTGAGGGGCCCTGGGCACTCTGTGGCACTCTGGGCTGGGAGTCCCTTTACTCCTCTCACGTGAGAGAGGTATCCCCCCGGGCATCTCCTGGGCCCCAAGGGCCTTCTTCCTTTACCTTTGGGGCTTGTGGGGGGGGTTAGGAAGGCAGCAGGTGACTTTCAGCTTTGTCTGTGCCTTTTCTTTTGGTGCATTTTCTGCCTGAAAAGGCAGGCGTGCCACCTTCTCCCCTTGAGGCTCTGACTGGGCCCGCAGTCAGTGGTGTCCTTTCCACATTCAGCGTGGGGCAGGGGGAGGCAGCGCTGAGTGCTCCAGCTGGGAGTGGGAACCCCGGGAAGGGGCGGCAGGGCGCAGCTCTCTCGGGGCCTGTTGTCTGACCCTGCTGACCCTGGCCGTGACCCTTTTCCCCTCACCCCCAGATCTAGCACAGCTGCGCAAGAAGTTCGAGGAGGATAAGCAGAGGATTGAACTGATGCGGGCCCAACGCAAGTTCCGACCCTACTGAGCTGGCTCAGGTGGGTGGCGAGGATGAGAGGGCCTGGAGCGCCCCCCTGATGCCTGGGTGGCCGGGCTGCCACCTGAACAGGACCAAAGATGTGCACCCACAGGAGCCGGTTGAAAACAGTGTCACCGCTCCGTTCTTGTGCTTCAGCCGACCTGGGCCCACTGTGGGGACACCTGGTCAGCACCAGGACTTGGCCCTGAGGAACCTCTGCCCCAGGAGGGGGTTCCTTCCAGCTCCTGGTCTCTGGTCAGCCCATCTCCAGATGCCTCTGTGAAAGCTGGGTGTCTGCTGTATTCTCCCCTCTCCCTGGATGGAGAAGCCCCGCTACAGTGAAAGCCTCAGAAGCGTGACAGGGAGGCGCCAGAGCCATTTATTCCCCAGCCCCAGGCAGCAGGGAAGGTGCTGGGCTGCAGGCTGGGCCAAGTCCATGCCAGTCCGACCTTCCTGCAGCCACTGCCAGCTCACTGCACATGATCAGCCCCAGCCCAGAGCACCCCCAAAGTCCGGGCACAGTGCCCCCGTGACATCACGCATGTGGGAGTAAGCAGCCTCAGCCCCGCACCTCCGCTCTGCCAGCCTCACTAGTCACGACCATGGAGTACTGTCCTCAGCACACCCAGCCTGGCTGGAGGCCCCCGGAGCTGAGTGTCTGTGTAGCCCCGAGCCCAGGGCTATAGCTTGGCTGGGAGCCTGTCCTCACTCTTCAGGAAGGAGCTGATGACCTTGGCCACGTGATCGGGTTGGTTTATGTGGACATAGTGATTGCCTGGCACTTCCACATACTGGAACCGCTGGAGAAGGGAGGGGATGGTGGTGAGGTGTGGCCCAGAGAGGTGCGGTGGGGCCTGCCCCGGTTCAGGAGTCCCCATGGTGAGCTGTGGGGCGGTGACTGAATGAGCCATAGCTCCCAGGGTCCCAGCCTCCTGGGAGGCCCGTGGGGGATTCAGGCCCTGGCCTTGGGTCAGTGAGAAGGGCCTGATCCAGAGGGAAGTGCCCAAGCCTGGGTTCTGCGCCCTTCTGAGTTGGGAGCTCTTGAGAGGGGGGCTGGGGAGCGGCCAGTGGTGGGGCTCCTGCTGGCCCTGAGGATTCTGTGAAGTCCCCTTCAGAGAAGAATGGCAGTTTTTCACACTCGTCCCTGCCTGGGAGAAGGCCCACCGGGTGGGAGGGTGCTGCCTGCTGGCCAGCCAGCCGACAGGCCGGCCAGCCAGGCCCAGGCTTCCCTTGCACGAGGTCAGTGTCTGCAGAGGCCCAGGGTCAGGTGTTCAGGTGGATGGTTCTCATAACATGCCAGCTACTCCCCAGGGATCAAGTCACAGCAAAGTCCCAGCCCTGCCACTTGGAGGCTCACCCCACCTGCAGCCAACACCTACTGAGGGGACTGGTCACCTGCCCCGTTTGTGTCCCTAGAGAATTGTGGGTTTTCCTTTGGGTGAGTAGGGCGTGGTGCGATGTGTGTGTGAGGACAGTAACGTAGGACGTGTGCCCATGAACACTGCTCCTGATTCACCTGTGACCTCAGCTTAGAGTGAGGCCTGGTACATCCTGGGGCGGGGGGTCCCAGTGCAGGAACAGATGGTGGTATGGAGTCCAGAGGGCCTGATGCCCCTCTGCATCCCAGCCACCCTGAGCCCTGCACCTGCCTCTTTTAGGATTGATTTCAACGTCTCAGTAATGAGACCATTGGCTCCTTTTTGTCGCAGTTCTCTGCGCACATCGTTGCATCCTTGGCTTGCTCTGGAAAACAAGAAACCAGGGTTTCTTTCTGGTCCACTTCCGGACAGTGCCCTCTGGCCTGGCCTGTTCCCCAGGATCCCCCTACATCAGGGCCCCTCTGAGCTCAGATTAATTCAGGATTCAGCCCCTCGGTACGCAGCGCACTTGGAATCCCAGGACCACCCACAGACTGCCACCGAGTGGTAGAGCCGTGCACCGCTGGAGTCTGCTTTGGGGAGATAATGATCACCCATTTTAAGTGTGTCCTTCCATGCTTCTTACTGTACTTACAGGATTGTGCAGTCATAACTACAGTCGATGTAGAAGGTTTTCATCACCTCAGAAAATCACCCCACTGTGTTGTGTCTCACACACAGCTGCCGTGCTGCCCACGCCCTCCCGTGGCTGTGCTCTCCTTCCACGCACCAGCTGCCGGAGGCTTCCCAAGAAAGACGCCACTCTGGTCTCGCAGTGGGAGAACTGGGGACCTCGTGCCAGGGACACCTGGAGGTTCCTAGCGCCCACGGCTTGTCTCGGGGGCTGGGTTCAGACTCACGTGGGCCTGCAGCTTCATGAAGGGTACCAGTTGGTCTCTGCTGGTGAATTGAATGCAATACTGTTTGCAGAGACAAAAACCATAGTGAATTCTCAGCACCAGGCACGGCTTGAGGGTGTGAAGCCCATCTCTCTTGTGGACTTGGGGTACCTGGAAGGGCCACTTCACCCACGTACCTCTGACCACCTTGTCCTATGACCATTTACGATCTGCTGTCCCCTAAAGTGACTGAGTCACACGTGACTTGGGTGCTCAAAAGGGAGCTGGTCCAAATCGGGATGTGCCATCTTGGATCACACACTGGGTTGTGAAGACTCAGCGTGGAAAACAATGTCAGATCGTCAGTGCTCTGTTACACTGGTTACCTACTGAAAGGGCGACATCTGGATGCTTGAGTGCCGAGTATTGTTTCTACTGGAGATGTGAGATTACACGGGGCTCATTCACGTCGGGCTGCTGTCGGGCTGCTCTCTCTGAGGACCCTCTGAGGGCTGCAGAACTCTGCTGTGTCCGAGGCTCAGCTTGCAGCTGAAGTCTTTAAAAAAATTAAAAGACTAACCCTGGCTGGTGTAGCTCAGTGGATTGAGCAGGAGCCTGCGAACCAAAACATCGTGGTTCGATTCCCAGTCACAGCACGTGCCTGGGTTGTGGGTCAGTTCCCAGCAGGGGATGCACTGGAAGCAACCATGCATTGGTATTTCATTTCCTTTCCTTCCCTGTCTAAAGGTAAAATTAAAAAAAATAAAGATTAAAAAAACTTTAAAAAATAGACTGGCTGTTAAGTCACACTCAGTAGTCCCACACCGTCAAGACAGATACCGAATTTCTGCGAACACTCACGTGGAGCTGCCGCTTCCTCCACTATCACTCATCACCCCTGTTCGGCCTTGACCCCTCCAGCGATGTCCTCCTCTCAGGCCCACCTGGGAACGTGTTTCTGGGTGCTTTGCCGTGAACAGGCTCCCATATCCACGGAGCCCGATGAACCAAGGTTGACGGGAGACGCAGACACGCTGCATGGTACCTGCATTGCCCCCTCCCGTGGTGAGTGCCTGGCTTGAGGAAAAGACCTGGAAGAGGGGCCTGCTGGTGGGAAGGGCTCCCCAGGACCAGAGTTACTGCCCGTGTTACGAAGGAAGGCCTTGGGGGAAGACCGGAAAGGCCACGTGAGTGCACACACAGCTGGCGGGAGGTCGTGCCAGGGCAGGGCTCTGGCCTGGGCTCTCGTTCTGGCTGTTCTGTACCACCCCTGTGGGCCCGTCAGTCTCCTGCCAGGACTGGGGTGCCCTGAGGGCTCATTACATCCTTGGGTACATTTGTCAGGCACTCTGGTTGACCACAGCACCTGGGAGGCAGTAGGGGCGTCTCCAAATACCTCCAAAAAACCAACCACATTGCTGCGTGGACAGTGACCAGGCTCGCTCGGGTCAGGGGACCTGCCAGGAGCGCCCCTTGGGCAGAGCTTTTCTTCCTGGGCCCTCCAGACCCCATGGGTTAGGGTCAGCACCGACCTCCCAGCCCCAGGGTCAGCACATGGAAGACAGATGGTGATGTGTGAGCTTGGTGGTTAGGAGGACCAGCTGGCGTGCATCTGGGAAAAGTGGAAATGATTTCCACCTCAAACCGTTCTTTCTTTCTTTAAAAAAATACTTTTTTTTTTTCATTTATTTTCAGAGAGGGGAAGGGAGGGAGAAAGGGAGTGAGGAAAACATCAGGGTGTGGTTGCCTCTCACGCATCCTCACTGGGGACCCAGCCTGCAACCCAGGCGTGTGACCTGACTGGGAATTGAACCAGCAACCCTTTGCTTTGAGGCCAGCACTCCTTCCACTGAGCCATACCATCCAGGGCCTTTTTATTGTTCATATTTGTAAGTTTATTTGAGCCAAACTAACGACATCTGCTGGGGAGCAGGATCTCAAATGCTCCCACCTCACCTTGTTATGAACAAATCCCAGCTGGATGAGAAACATACTCAAACCTGCCTTCCGTTGGCTGCTGCTCTGGTCCAGGCCTGAGGGCCAAGCCTGGTCTGGGCATCCCTCCGGGTGGCCTCTCTGGGGAGGCACCGTGTGTCTACCTACGCCTCCGTTTTGGCCAGAGGTCCCAACACCACCACGTAGTATAGGTGACCCAGGGCAGCTGAGGCTCACAGAGTCATAGGTATGGACTGGTCCACTTGACCTCACGGTGTGTTGCATCTGAAAACAAACCACCTTCCTTTACATCAGCACCTGCCTCTTGAGTACTGGCTTTCATGGTGGCAGGCGGCCGGACCTGCGTTTGGTTACAATTCTACATTATATTGGTTCGGGTGTGTAGCATAGTGGTTAGACGTTTATAAAACTGACGCAGTGGTCCCCTCCCTGATACCCCAGTACCATCTGGCACCACACACAGCTGTTACAATATTATGGGCTATATCCCCTATGCTGCGCTTTACAACCTGGTGACTATTTTGTAACTGCTAATTTATACTCTTAATCCCCGCACCTCTTCCACCCAGCCCCCCAACCCCCTCCCATCTGGCTATGGCTGCCATCACTTTGTTCTCTGCATCTATGAGTGAGACTGTTCTTGATTTTAAGCAATACACCCCAAAGTATGTGGAGGTTAAGAAAAACAAGCGGGACTTCCGCCAAGATGGAGGCACAGGTGGATGTGCTGTGCCTTCTCACACAACCAAGTTTAGAGACAACTAAATATTAGCAACAGAAAACACAGTCAGAACACGGAAAATTGAACTTTTTGGAAGTCCGTTAACAACAAATTCTTCAGCCTGACCGGTAAGGGGCGAAACCAGCGGCTGGTGAAGCGGGGTTGCACAGGTCTCGGTCAGACGGACTCAGGCGCGGAATCCAGACGCGCAGAATCCAGGCGCAGGGTTGGACCTAGTGAGCGACAGAGCCAGCAACCAAGCAAACGACCGCGGGGGAAACAGCGGGGCAGCGGGGCTGCGGGTTGACTGTGGTCGTGCATTTGTGCTCAGGTGGACAGGCGAGGGAGTGAGCGGTTGGACCGGGGCCCGGCGGGTCCCCGCGGCAAGCGGCAGTGGAGGGCCCCGCCATTTCCCCGCTCTGACCCCACCTCCACATACAGCGTCATAACCCAGCGACTCTGAGTGGCCCAGCCCAGGTGAACCACCTAAGGCACTGCTCCTCACCCAGCTGTGAGAAACAGCAGAGGGGGCCGCCATTTCCCGCTCTGACCACGCCCCCACATGTAGCGTCACAACCCTGCGACCTGGGAGTCCAAGGCGCCGCTTCTCATACTTAAAGGGCCAGAACAGACCAAAAATGGCGCAAGAAGATTTCAAAGCCCCAGAGCCCATAGGTCTAAGCGATGAAGAAATAGCAAAACTCTCAGACGCACAGTTTAAAACACTGGTCATCAGGATCCTCACAGAACTGGTTGATTATAGCCACAAATTAGACAAATATATGAAGGCGAAACTAATTGAAATGAATGGAATTGCACAGGACACCAATAGTAATGAAAAGGAAACTGGGACTCAAATCAATGGAGTGGACCAGAAGAAAGCAAATAATGGCCAAACAGAAAAGAGTCAAGAAGCAAGAATTCAAAAAATGAGGAGAGTCTTAGGAATCTCCAGGACATCTTTAAACGCTCCACCATCCGAATTATAGGAGTACCAGAAGGGGGAAAGGCATAGCCACCAGTGGAAAACTTATTTGAACAAATAATAAAGGAGAATTTCCCCAATCTGGCAAAAGAAATAGACTTCCAGGAAATCCAGGAAGCTCAGAGAGTCCCAAAGAAGTTGGACCCAAGAAGGAACACACCAAGGCACATCATAATTACATTAGCCAAAATTAAAATGAAGGAGAGAATCCTAGAAGCAGCAAGAGCTAAGGGGACAGTCACCTACAAAGGAGTCCCCATCAGACTGTCAGTGGATTTCTCAAAAGAGACCTTACAGGCAAGAAGGGGCTGGAAAGAGGTATTCCAAGTCATGAAATCCAAAGACCTACAACCAAGAGTGCTCTATCCAGCAAAACTTTCATTTAGAATGGAAGGACAGATAAGGTGCTTCTCAGATAAGATCAAATTCAAGGAGTTCATCATCACCAAGCCCTTATTATATGAAATAAGGACTTATCTAAGAAAAAGAAGTTAAAGAAACATGAACAGTGAAAGGACAACAAACTCACAGTTATGAACAACCACACCTAAAACGAAAGCAAACTAAAAGGACAGCTAGATCAGGAGTGGAAACATAGGAATGAAGATCTCAAGGAGGGTTAGCAACAGGGGAGTGGGAGGAGGAGAAGGGGGAGAAGGTACAGAAAATAAGTAGCATAGACAGAAGATAGGAAATAGATGGGGGGGCAAGAATAGCATGGGAAATATAGAATCTAAAGAACTTGAGACACATGGTCATAAACTAAAGGGGGGGTAATGGTGGGGTTGGGGGGTAGGGTGGAGGGGAATGAAAGGAGAAATAGAACAACTGTAAAAGCATAATCAATAAAAAAAATTTAAAAAAAAAGTAAAACAAGCACTGGGCAGACCCTCTGGTTTGGTGTAGGTTCAGGAGGGCTGGCGCGGAGCCCCGGAGACAGGGAGCGTCCAGAGCTACCTGAACAGTGCCCCGTGAAGGCCGAGCTGGGTGTGACTGAGGGGCTGGTGAGCTGGGCGTCTCAGCAGCCTAAGGGTCCAGAGGAGGACTTGAATGCAGGAAAGAGGCTGATGGACAGAAGGGCTGGGCCCCTGTGGTGTGCTTGGTCCTGGCGCCAGTGGCTTCAGAGTGAGGGACGTAAACTCCAGGGTGGTTTCTCAATCTCTCCGGGACTGTTAAAAACCTTTTGACGGCAGCTGGTCTCTGGGTTGGTAACAGTCTCCCGTGCTCTGCCATGCAGAGTCACAAGATGTCTCCGTGTTCTGCAGGCCTCGACAAAGTGTGGACACTGCCCTGTCCAGTGGCCTAAGTGCCCTCTGCCAGGTCAGCTGTCTTCTCCTCCCCTCTCTCTTAGGACCTGGGCAGCATTTGGCCTGTTCCCTGAGAGCCCTACTGTGACCGAGGTGGTGGACGGAGCTGACTCTGCTCTGTATTTCTTCTCAGCAAACAACCCCCCATTTTAGTGGGGTGAGGGGGAGCTAAGTAGCCGAGCCCTTTCTGGAAACACTCACAGCACCTTTGAGTTCTTTTGTCCAGGGACCCTCGGTTTTCAACTCACTTCCATTAGACCTTAAAAGTCACAAAATGGGGTTCACCCAAACCAACACCTCTTGATTCAGCGAGAGCAACTCCTCTGGCAAACCGGCCCTTCCTCTAAGGAGTAGTCTCACTGCCGCCACCCCACTGGTCCTTGTGGCTGGGGAGGGCTGCAGGGACCCCCGGGGAGGGGTGCGGCCGGCGCAGCCGCACTGTCTTTCGGTTGCCTCTGGAAGGGAGGCCGCTTTCTCTCCTCCTGCCCGATGTCTAACTGGACGGGGCCCTGTGGGTCATCTGTGCCCCAGCCCTTATGTTTTCAGATTCATCAGAGAACCATTTTCTGAGCAGGCGGTTTTTGCTTGCGACCACATGCTGGGACATGTCAGGTGTCCCTGCCACGAGGCAGGCCGTGGTGACAGGAGGGAGAAGAGGGCACAGATGAGAGAGATGCAGGAGGTAGAACGGCAGGGTCTGGGCTGCTGCGGAGTGGGGAGCAGTTAGGAAGAGGAGGCGTCAGGCTGACTCCCACGAGTCTGACTCGGGTGAGAGGGTGGGACCTGGGGCGCCACCAGGTGAGGACGAGGGGAGGAAGGGTTAGGAGGCTAAGGGTGCAATTCACTGAGTCTGAGACCACAGGCAGGTGCTCTCAGAAGCCAGAGTGAATGTACCAGAAATAGTGAACATATATTTCGAGCTGTGGTGGCAGTGCTGAGAGGAGCCCCATCTGTGCTCCCCAGAACATCGGGTGTGCCTCAGTGAGCCCCCCAAAGCCCCCTTTTTTGTCACTTCAGTCCTAGGAGCTGGGAGTTACTCATGCCGTTATTCATCTTGCAATCTTTCTTAGTTTACTCTTCCTTCCATGCCAACATTTTTTTGTAACCAATTTTTCTCACCCTATTCCCTCTGTTGAAATAGTACCTAACGTTCCTTTTTGTTTACTTGACTGGTAAACAAACAGGAACATATACCCACTAGATTGCAAAGTGTGGGGGCGGATGTGGGGCAGCTGAGGCCACTAGTGGTCCTGGCTGGTGTGGCTTGCTGGACTGAGTGCCTGCCTGCAAGGCAAAGGGTCACCGGTTTGATTCCCAGTCAGGGCACATGCCTGGGTTGTGGGCCAGGTCCCTGCTAGGGCTCTTGTGAGGGGCAACCACACACACTGCTGCTTCTCTTCTTCTCTTTTCCCCTCCCTTCCCCTCCCTCTGAAAATAAATAAATAGCATCTTAAAAAAAAGAAATAAACTGCTGGTGGGGGCTGTAAATTGTGTCACTTTGAAAGAGTCTGGCTTCAACTATCAAAGCTGAAGATTGATTCGCTGTCATCCAGTAGCTCCCCTCCCAGGTGTAAAACCCAGAGGCGCAGTAAGATATGTGTACAAGTGGTCTTGCTTGTGAACGCCAAAAGCCGTAGTGGGTGTGGTGAGCCACGCCGCTGTGAAACTGGTGTACACTGTTGCCTGTTTGAGTCCTTTTGGATACACACAGGAACTGCTGTGGAACTGCTGGGTCACGGCGTACTTCCGTGTTTCACCTTTTGAGAAATGGCCAAACTGTTCTCCATAGTGCTGACACCATTTTACGTTCCCACCAGCAACGCACAGGAGTTCCAATTTCTCCACATCCTGGACAATACCTGGTGTTTTCTGTCTTTTTTCTCTCCTTTTGGTGTCAGTCATATCTTGTGTGATTTTGATTTGTATTGCCCTAATGACTAGTGATGTCGAGTACTTTTCCTTGTGTTTATCGGCCATGTGTATGTTTCTTTTGGAGAAATGTCAAGTCTTTTGTTTTTTAATTGGGTTGTTAGTTTCGTCATAGTCGTCGTTGGGCTTGTATTTAGGAAAGGAAGTTTAAAAAAAAAAAAAAAAGGCTGTGAGATGATCGTCACCCATCCCTGAGCCTAAGTAGCAGGAGAAACAGCCGGATGCGCAGCGAGCAGAGGTGAGGGAAACGGGCTGCCGCCAGGAGTGGTGGGCGCCGCGGTGCGCTATGCAGAATCCTGCGGGGACTGAGGCACCGTTCCTTCAGCTGCCAGTGAGTGTCGCTGTGACAGCGCATAGCGAGTTCTTGCCGGAGGTTTGCGGCTTCACCGAAGGGAGCGGGCACGCCCTCCCCAGGGCAGCACACGGCCAATAACCGGTCCATTGCAGGGCTGCAAAGGGCTGGCCACCTGCCTTATTTAGGACAAGTGCGAAGGACCACCCCAGCGCCTGAGCTCCCTATGGAATTGGCTAAAGTTCCCAAATGCATCGCAGTTTAACTTCTGCCCAGTTCAACCTCTCTTACTCCCTCCCGGATTAGTTCCGTTTAGCGCTGCCCAATAAGCTTTGTGCGCGCGCATGTCAGAGACTCCATTTCTGTTTCTCAGGGAACTCAACCCAAAGCAGGAGGGAGGCTTACAGTTCAAGGGCCCGGGGTGGGGGTGGGGGGCCTGACAACTGTGGTTGCTATGACGATGGCAGTAATTCCAGCCAGTGTGCACCTCTCCTTCCTTGTTGGGCCTAGCGCTGGGCCTCGCTCAAAGAATGTTTACTAAATTAAAAATAGTTCGGTGGAAGTCGGGGTGTTAATCAATTCGGCCTGGGGACTAGCAGGGCAGGTCCGGGCAATGTGAAGTTTGGCCTTGGCACCTCGTCTTTCTTTTGGAATCTCCCTCACACAGGCTCTCCCACGACCCTAGGGACGAGATGTGAAACGCCCCATCCAGCTGGGCCTCAGTCAACGGACTGAGCGTCCACGCGGGCTGGGCTCCGTTCTCTCACCCTTCTCGCCATCACAGTGTCCTTGCCTGGGTCCCATCATTCGGATCCCCGCGGCCAGCGGCGCACACGTGCAGGAACTACCGCCAGAGGCGCATTACCCACGCTCCCTCCCACTGGGCTCCTGTTTTTTTTTCTTTTATTCAGTTTATTGGGGTAATACGGGTTAATGAAATAATATAGGTTTCAGGGATACAATTCTATATTATGTCATCTGTATATTGTATTGTGGGTTCACCACCCCAGAGGACTCCTGTTTCGGGTCTCAAAGAATTCCCTGGGGTGAAACAGCAACTCACTCCCCCTTCAGAGTCTGGAAGAAGGCGGCAGAGCCGCTCCGAGGCTTTCAGCTGGTCTCCAGAACAAAATCTCATTCAAGCCCCTAAAGCTGCAACTGCGGAAATAGAGGTGCGTATTTTACCTAATCCCGCAGCCCGGGTCAGGCTGGCGAAGAAACTGCTTCCCACCCACTGAGGTTCAGTCAATTCGACTCGATCCTCCCACCGCCCACCACCGGCCCCTCCCGCCCTTTGGGTGGTTTCTTGGCGATGATGTGCTTTCAGGTGCGCAAGGGGGCGCGGAGAAGGCGGGGTGCACCGGCTCACCGAGGGAGACGGGAGGCCGGGCACGCGCTCCAGGGCGGCGGTGGGGTTCGGGGTGGAGCGAGGCGAGAGCGCGCGGGCGGGCACGGGGCCCCAGAGCGGCCGAAGAGTGCAGGGCGAGCGGCTCCGGGCTGGAGACGGCGGCGGAGCAGAGCCGCGTGCGTGCGTGTCGAGGCGTTCTCTCCGTGCCCCAATCCTGCGGGACGGGCGCGTCGCCATCCTGGTGGAGACACGTGAAACTTGTTTTGGCGAAACAGAACTTCCTGATTTGAGGGCAGAGGGGCGGTGTCTGTCGGAGGCTTTTTGAAGGGAGTTAAAGGAACACACGCCCTTCCGCAGACCCCGAATTCGGCCCCGGGTGAGCGGCTCGGGCGGCGCAGGTGGTGGGCCGGGTGCGAGGATAGAGACGGGCGCTGCAGAGATTAAAGGCAGTACCCGCAAAAAAGGGAAAGACGCAGCAGGGGCTGCGGACAGTCGCTGTCCGCGCAGCCCCGGCGCGGCGGGACCCCAGGTTTGCAGAGCGGCGCACGCCTGGGCGGCCGCAACCCGGGCGCCGGCCAGTCACGGGAAGACTGCAGCGCCCCCTGTCGGCATCCCGCCTGACTGCAGCCCTGGCCGCGGTCGTGCTCGAGGCTGACCTGGGGACCCCGGCGGGCGCCACCAAAGCGTCCAGCGCCTTCTGGGGCCACCGTCTCTTTGCATTTAGGCTGGCACTGGTTTGGTCTTAAGAGAAAGAGGCAGAAGGGCCCTTTCCTCGCTTTGTGTGAGAAAATGGAGAGAAATACACATACACTTGTGGGGGGCGGGTTCTAAACATTTTTGATTCAAGGACCACCTGGGGTCAAAGATTCTAAAGAACAGCTCTTTTCCACCTGACGAAGTCTTAAGGAGCTTCTCTTGTCCACAGGTTTCCATTATAAAACAGTTAGTAGGAAAACTATAAGAAGCCGCTTTCTGAACATCTGAAGGTTTCGTCCTGACCCCTAACTTGGCGGCGCCCTGTTTTCTTCACTCACCCCAGTTTGCAGTTATTTTCTGTTTTTCTCCGGGCTGTTTTGCTACTAGTCCGCCCGCACCCCTGACTTGCCTACCTTAGACTGACCCTCCGGCGTCAGTCCTGGGCCTCGTAAGGGATCTGGCTCTCAGCAACCTTGTGTTGGAGGCAGGATCCCTCCCCCCTCCCCCAAGCGGTGGCAGCACCCATTTTCATTTGGTTTTCTGGCACTCTCTGCACCCCGGTCCTGTCTCCCACGGGTCCCCTCCAATTCCCGCGGGAATAAATCCCTATTCTCCAGTCCACATGGAATCTACGTTGTGCCTTGTGTCTTACCTGGGTTATACTCAGTGCATGTAATAATAATAATTATTATAATAATATAATAATAATTATTTATTATTATTTTGACAAGCCACTAAAGCCACTAAAAGGAATGTTCTGGAATCAAGTGTGCGGTGAGGAGTGGCTGCATCAGAGGGGACACACCTGACCTTGGCTGGGTTCTGTGTGCGACTAGCTGGGTCACTCAGGACTGAGCCCCAGTCCTTATTTATGGTGGGGCATCATCATCCTTCTTAGGAATTATTAGGGACGTGAAAACTGAGATCATAATAGGCATGTTTACTGAGCACTTGCTTTGTCCAGCAAGGTTCGTAGAAGCTTGTGTTGCACCGTTTAATCCACGCGATGATGCCAGCGGGGTGCCTGGCTCAGTGTCTAGCATGAAATAGATGGTAGATGAAAACAGCTTTTTAAAAAATAATTCAGTGAGAAAAGACATTGTAGATAGCAGTTTCTTAATGTGACTTGAGCCTGTGGGAAGTATATTTATCGAAACAGTTAAAATTCTGTTTTACTCTGTAGATGAAAACTGATATATAATGTTGAAAGGTTGCATTTTTAACTGCTTATTAAGCTTCTTGGTGTGTATTTTAAGCTTAATATGTCATGCTGAATAGATTTTATTTGAATATTTATATTATACATTATTGATTTGTAATGCATGAGTATTTTTTAATTGCGCTAAATGCCTAACACTGTAAGATTAAGTAAAATAATATATATATATACACACACACAATATTTAGCACAGTTTTTAAAAAAGATTTTATTCATTTATTTTTAGAGAGATGGAAAGAGAGGAAGAAAGACAGGGAGAGGAGCATCGATGTGAGAGAGAAACACGGGTCGGTTCCTTCTCGTAAGCACCTGAGAACCCAGCACGTGCCCTGCCAGCGAATCTGACTGGCGACCTTTCACTCTGTGGGACTAGGCCCAACCCACTGAGCGCACCAGTCAGGGCACAGCACCGTTTCGAAATAGTAGTATATACACTGAATGTATGGCAGCTATTAGTATGATCACCATTACGAGCCTAGCCTCTGAAATAAACAGTTAAAACTATCCGTGAGAGATGTAAGGTATTTTAAAATATCCTTGAATTAGTTAGGGCCGGTGAGTACAAAGGTGAAAGGTGAACGGGAGTCGGCAGCTCGCTTGCTGCTCAGTATAAGAATCTTCTGAGAGGGACGTCTGACTGTTTCATAAAGGCGGTGAGGCTCACCTGTCAGCCCAGGAGGCCTCTACACTGTGGCCACTGTTTTCTAGACCCAGGCCGTCCTTCCTGGGAAAAGTGTGTCTAGTCTGGATATCTGCCAGGCTTTTTGTGTTTTAAGCACACGTTGAATTGAATAATCAGAAATGTTTCAAAATGGGTACTACTCATAACAACATAGAGTGAGAATTCAGGAGTTTACATTTCACAAAGGCAAGAAGTCGATCTCTGAAATAAAGGTTAGTTTCTTTTGGAGGCTGGAGTGAATTGGTTTTATGGGTGCTTTGCTTCAGTCAATTAAGAAATTTCATAATTAAAGATAAATCTGATTATGAAAAAAGAAGCATGTTTACTTAGATGCCAAATGTATCCAGTTTCCATGAGTTTGGGTTTTTGTTTTCCTTTTGGTGGAAAGATAAAATTATTGAGAGCTTAAACCAGAGCCGGCGAGAGAAAGCTTTGTGCTCGTTTCCCTTTGTCTGTCTCCCCTTCTCTCTCTCCCCATCGCCTCTCTTCCTCCCTCCCAGGGTCTCTCAGCCTCCGCCATCCCTCCCCTCCTTACAAGTTCTTTTTCTTGCATTCTCTTTGTTTAGAAATAATCTGCAAAAGCGTAAGCAAGTGATGAATGTTTTATATTTGGTTTAAAATGCCTATGTGCTCTTTTTACTTTTTTTTTTCCAAATTATAAGAAAGTTTATTTAGAAAGTTAGAGAGGAAGCAGCAGTGAGCCAGCTGGGCCTCATGGACTCAGGAAACGAGTTACAGAAGCAAAAGGAGGGCCCTTGGAGCTTAGAGAGGGAAGGGCAGGAGTAAGGGGCCCGGGGGAAGGAGAGGGGCCGCCGAAGGCCCGGCGTGCTCCGGGAGGGAGAGCGCACCTATGGCTCTTTCTTCAAACCTGAACAGATTTGTTTCTCAGTCCCCGTAGATGCTGTCCCCATGCCTTTGTCTCTATAAACAGTGTCTTCCAGAGACTGTGTGAGGTTTGGGCCTGGCTCCCTAGCTCCGTGACCCCTAACGGGCTGCCCACCCTCTCTGCGCCTCAGGTTCTCATCTGCTAACCGGGTCCAAGAAAGCCCCACTTCGAAGGAGCCTTGAGGGTGGAATGAGTTCGTCAGGTCAGGCTTGGTAAGGGCTACCTAAAATTATTTCAGTTTTGAGAAGTATGGCTGAGCATGCTTTTCTTTCTTTTCAAAAAAGGAATTAAGTAAGTGCTACACTGACAAGCACAGAAGAGCCCCTGGCGAAGTGAAGCGTGTCACTTCCACACTGTCCCTGCCACTCAGGAGCACGCCTTGCACCTTTCACTGCGTGTACTGCTGAGCAGGTGTCAGAGGTTAACCAAGCCGGGCATCAGAACGTGGTAAGAACAGGTTTGATTCTGTGAGCTGCACTGGGGCAGAGCGGGAGCGCCGTTCTGACTCGGGCACAGTAAAGGGGGAACCGGGAGGGGAGGGGGTCAGAGGAGTGAACGCAGCAGAAAGTGAGGAAGACGGCTGGCCACTGTCCATGCCATGAGGCCGGCCGTGTCTGCGGGCAGTTACAGAAGTGAGGGTTCTGCCCTCCCACAGAGCCCGGGGCCCAGGGCCCTACCCAGCCCAATGGCGGCATTTCAAATGAATGGCCTTCAGGTCCTTGAGAATGACACTCCTGCGTTGTGGGAGACACAGATCCATGGCCAAGGGACTGAGGGAAGACCACTGTGAAGGGTCTAAAATGACTGTTTGGGGAGGCCGTTTCAGAGGCTTAACTTCTAGCGTTGGCTGGAACCCACGGTGAGTTCTTTGGGCGGCCTGAGCTTTCTCAGGCATTTTAAGTGGCCCAGGGCTCCTCATCCTAGGGACAGTCTTGAGATTCTTAGTGTGTGTGTGTGAAGGGAAGGCGCTGGAATTGATTGTGCTGGAAGCTGCCGCTTTTCTAGGCTGAGGTTGAGGTCTAGTGGAGAGGAGGACTTCAAGGAGCCTGACTAGAGTTTGGTCAAGGACAGAGTCTTTGTCGCATTCCGCTGCCACCCCGCAGAGCCAGCTCCTTGCTTTTCATGCATGGCTGGTGGTCCCCTCTTGATGGACATTTAAGTCCAGTGTGGTGAAGATTTTATGAACCCAAGCTATTTTCTTTCTTAAAATATTTTACTTATTTATCTGTAGAGAGAGGGGAAGGGAGGGAGAAAGAGAGGGAGAGAAATATCAGTGTGTAAGAGGTACATTGATTGTTTACTTCTCATTGATTAGTTGCCTCTCACACACCCCCAGCTGGGGACCTGGCCTGCAACCCAGGCATGTGCCTGACTGGGAATCGAACCCATGACCTTTCAGTTTGCAGGCCAGTGCTCAACCCACTGATCCACACCAGCCAGGGCAGACCCAAGCTATTTTCAAAAAAGCATATATTCCACAGAAACTGCTTTTTCCAAACATGATCCGAGAGGTTTTCTTTCAATGGCATCCGAACTCTTCTTCCTGTCCTAGGACTAGCCTTGCAGAAACGTGTTAATACCTCAGGCGCTGTGCCCTGCTGCCTGGGTTCGAGTCCTGGTCCTGGTCCTGACAGGGACACGCTGGGCGGTTGTGACAGCCACTCTTGCCCTCTCTGCCCCTTGATGTCCACATCTATAAAATTGGATTAAAAACCTTACAGGGCTGTGGCAAAAATTAAGTTAATTAATTCATATTGAGTTGATTCATGTAACTGATTAACTTAATAATTGCCGAGCAGTTTAATCCACCTTCTTATTCCCTCCCTCACTGAGGCCCCAAGGAGCGTTGTAAGGACAGGGTGGCCGTGCTGTGCCCGGCACCTTCAGTCTGCAGCATCTCACCCACTTCCGTCTCTTTAAAAAAACCTGATTCAGCCCTGGCTGGTGTGGCTCAGTGGATTGAGCACGGGCCTGCAAACCTTCGCGGTTCGATTCCCAGTCAGGGCACATGCCTGGGTTGCAGGCCAGTTCCCAGCAGGGGACGCATGAGAGGCAACCGCACATTGATATTTCTCTCCCTTTCTCCTTCCCTTCCCCTCTAAAAAAAAAAAATCTCCTGGAGAGAGAGAGAGCGGGCAGGGAGGGCAGGGAGGGCAGGGGTGGGGAGAGAGAGACTCGTTGTTCCACTAATTCATGCATTTACTGGTTGTAATTATATGTGTCCTGACCGGGCACTGAACCTGCAACCTTTGCGTATCAGGACGACACTGTAACCGACGGAGCTCCCGGCCAAGGCTAGAATCTCTCGAATACGAATACGTGCCCGACTGACTGCAGCACTGGGCAGCCACGGGGTCTTGAGCAGCGGGTGCCCCAGAGCCGCCGTCCCGCCCGTTCTTTATTGCTTCCTTCAGCTGGTGAGTGTCTTCTTCTCATGTTTTCGTTTCTTCCTCAGACTTTCTCCGTCCTTCCCGAGCCTCCCCGTCAGTCTCTTTGCTCGAGAAGAACCACCACGTGACGTGGAGAGAGAGCTGGGCCCTGAGCCAGAGGCCCGGCGGGAGCCTGGCAGGTTGGCGTTCTCGCGTGCCGTGAGCGTGGGAGGGGACCCCTCAGCACTCAGGGCTGACGCTTTCCCACTCACCTCACGAGTGTTCTCAGCATCAAATCAGACCGGGGTATAAACCCTTAAATGCTACATCAGCGCAAGTCCTGAGATAGGATGTCTACTAACATACTCAGAACCAAATTTTTACCTTAAAATACATTGTATTCACCTTTCCCATTTCAATGGCAAAAATTTTACAAACTTTCAGGTTATTTGGAGTGGCCAGCATAGTTCTGAGCCTAGCAGCTTAGACAATCTAAGAGAAACAGCGTGTTTTCTACTTTTTAAAACATTTCTGTCTTTCAGTCACAGTTGACATACAGTATTCTTTCATATTAGTTTCAGGTGCACAGCGTAGTGGTTAGACAACCACCCACTTTACAAAGTGTCCCCCCGATATTTCCGGTACCCGCCTGGGACCACACGGCTGTTCCGAGAGCACTGGCCGCGTTCCCCGAGCCGCGCTCCCCATCCCCGCGGCTGCTTTGCAACCGCTGTTGGGTTGTCCGGAAGTTCATTTGGTTTTCCCATACGACGGCTCCTCTAGCACCGAGTCATCTTCAACTTCATTCGAAACTGTTTTGTTGGAGTGTATTGTGACAGCTGTCATATCAGAGTGCATTAAAAAAAAACATCAAAATTGGTGAGTCTTTGTGTAGCCATTTTCATATCGAAGGTGGAAGAAAATAAGCAACTTTTTGGCATATTATGCTTTATTATTTCAAACAAGATAAAAATGCAACTGAAGGGCAAAAAAAAGAAAACAGATTTATGCAGCGTGTGAAGAAGGTGATGATCAAATGCGTCAGAAGCGGTTTGCGCAGTTTTGTGCTCAAGGTTTCTCCCTGGACGGTGCTCCACAGTCAGCGGGCCAGTTGACGTGGACAGTGGTCAAATTGAGATGTTAGTTGAGAACAATCAACGTTCTACCACACAGGAGACAGCCAATATGCTCAGAATATCGAAATCAATAAAGTTACTGGTGAAAATGAAAAATATGTCTTTTATTTTATGGAAAAAATCTAAATGGACTTTTTGGCCAACCCAATACTTTGTACTTCTTAATCCCTTCACCTTTTTCATCCAGTCCCCCAAATGGCTCCCCTCTGGCAAAGTCAGTCTGTTCTCTGCATCTATGAGCTGTTTCTGTTTTGTTAGTTTGTTTTGTTCTTTAGATCCTACATATAAGTGAAATCATTGTTTTATACTTTTGAAATACAAATCAGGATGGGATCAAGGGAAAGAGGCCGTTTGTATCATCTACTCTGTTCAGCTTGTACCAGATTTATATGTGATAACTTGATTTTCTGTGAGGTCCTAATGAATATATTCATGATCTTCCCCCTCTGAATGAAATTAACGTTTCTGCGTGAACCAGAAATTAATTTTTTAATTTCACCCTTTCTCTCCTTTGGCAGCAATCTCTTGGGGCTTTGATCATACCTGCCAGCTTGCCCTGTACATCTCCGGCCAGAACCTCCCCCTGAGCACTGTGTGCTCCCGGGGGCACACCCATCTCCGGAGGTCCCCACCCACACAGCTCGTTTGGCCTGCACGCCTGCCGTCTCCCAGTGACTGCAACAGCCCCTCCAAACCCTTACACTCATCCGTTCTCCCTTCTCCTCTCACCCCAGAACCAGCCTGCCCTGAGATGCCCTGGGCTCCACAGGGTAAAAAACGCAGACCCTGTTCGCTCCTCGCCACCTCGGTGGCCGCCCGCCGGCAGCCCGCGTCTCCCACCTGGAGCGCTGCCCCTTGTGGTCTCCTGAAGTCTGTTTTCAACGCAGCCGCTGGAGGGATGCACCGTTCAGAACCTTGCCACGGCGAGCTCTAAGTGCCAGCATCCGCACAGGTGTCAAAAGCCACTCTCCGTTGTCACCACCAGTCCCAGTGCCCCTCTGACCTCGTCTGCTGACCCTGATCTTCGCTCTGCCCTCCAGCCACGTCGGCCTCAGAGAAGGCGCCGGGCATATTCTGTCCTGTGCACGTACACAGCAAGTCCCCTTAAACTTGTCCCTCCTAGTTGTCCATGTGACCAGCTCCACCACCTTCTCCAAGTCTTTTGCTAAATGTCACCTGCTCCCTGGGTCCACCCTGACTGTCTGATGTAAAAGTTGCTCTGCACATTCCTGTCTGTTCTCTGTGTCCCCCTCTGCTGGAATGGAAGCTCCGCATGGGTGGGGGGCTTCTCCGTTTTGCTTCCACGGTGTCCCAAGCACCTGGCACCTAGTAGGCCCTTTATAAACTGAGTGAACAAAGGAAGGAACACTCACAGCCCACCATCTCCAGCTGCCAATCTGCGATCAGCGCTAGCTGCTTCCTGGGATCAAACTCTGGGTTTCAGACGGGTTCCTTCTCAGAATTATTCTCAGAATGGCTCTGTGTTGCTGGGAGCGGGGAACGGGGCAAGGAGGTAGGGACATTCGGTCTTGAAGAAAAAAGTGCTTTACAATTCTAAACATTTGTTTTTGGAGTAGGCGAATCAAACATTCTAAAAGGCTGGATGTAAAGCCTTGGCTGGCGTAGCTCAGTGGATTGAGCACAGGCCCACGATCAGGGTTCGATTCCCAGTCAGGGCACATGCCTGGGTTGCAGGCCAGTTCCCAGCAGGGGATGCAGGAGAGGCAACAGCACACTGATATTTCTCTCCCTCTCACCTTCCCTTCCCCTCTAAACATAAATAAAATCTTTATTAAAAAAATAAAAGGCTGGATGCGGAGAAATGCCTCTAGGATGGGGGGAGGGGAGCGGGGCCCACCTCTGAGCCTCCGCGGACTGTGACATTCTGTGCGCTGTGCCCTGTGCGCGCCGCGACCGATCGCGAGCCCTCCCTGGCGCCGCGAGGGCCTGTGACCCGCAATGGGTAGGAATCCGTGGCTCCCGGCAGCCTCACGTCCCCCCTGCTGAGTGCTGCTGCCCTGCTGCCCCCTCAGCAGCCCCCTGAGAACCACGGTCGGCCCCTCTGCCTTTGCCCCCCGCCCCCCCGAAACGAGGAAACCACTGCATCGAGAGCTGCTTTGTGAGGGTGCAGCGCAGGGTTTTGCGTGGGAGCTGGGCGGCGTGGGTTCGAATCCTGGTCCCTCGCGTGCCTGCTCTGTGACTGGAGGAGTTAGTTCACCTCTCTGAGCCTTGGTTCCTTCACTGAGTGAGGGTGAGTCATGCTGAGCAAGCTAATTCACGTAAAGGCTCAGGCTGCCCCGTGGCGTGTGGTTACGTGCGAATACACTGTCGGCTCTCTTCACTAACAGTACGGAACACACGGTGCCCTGGAGGAAGGGTTTGTATTTCAACTTGAAAGGTGATTGACTGTTGCTTTATAGCATGAGGTCCGAAGGGCCCACTCAGGAGGGGCAGGCCTCAGTTCTGGCAACTTCATACTTAATCTCATTAATGTTGCAGAGGGCTGCGGGGTTCCCACCATGGGGACCCCAGGAGTTTAGACTTCAGTGGATTCCTGACAATTGAGATTTGGCTCCTGGAAGGCTTTTTAAAAATAGGTGGAAGTACATCTGAAATACGAAGTACAACCCCCAAATATTTCCCCCCTCGGAATAGACGGTGTACTTTACACCCTCCTCCGTGACCTTTAGAATGTTTTCGGTGGTCACATCCTTGATCGAGACCAACTTTGGGATTTCTCTACTTAATCGGGCAGGTTACAATCACTTTTGCGTATTTCTAGAAATTAAATTCACCTCCTTCCCTGATCGGTGTGGCTCAGTTGGTTGGGTGTTGTCCCACAAATTGAAAGGTTGCGGTTTGATTCCTGGGCGGGACACATCCCTGGCTTGCAGGTTGGGTCCCCAGTTGGGCTACGTATGGGAGGAAGCGGCGGCCAGTCCATGTTTCTTTCCCATATCGATGTTTCACGCTCTCTTGTGCCCTCTGGTGAGGATAAAAAATTTAAAAAATGAGCACATTTTGGGGCTCTGAATTCTGCTCCAATAATTATTTTAAGGAAAAGACAACGAACTTCTCAAAATAGGCCCCCATGCTCTGAAGGCCGTGTCCCGTCTGTGGTCAGTGTGGCGTTGCTACTGGATCCCCTGCTTGGAAAGGGTGTGCCGTGTGTGTCGGGGGGTAGCGTTGGCACCTGCATGCACAGGTGGCCCACTCACAGTCACCGTGGGTATGTGGTGGTGGCGGAGCCCACCTGTGTCCACCCCACTGTGAGTCTGGTCATCTCCCACTCCCACCCTTCTACAGATTGGAGACCCCAAAGTCATGTGCTAGGGCTGACCTCCTCAGACCCACCCGTTAGCTCCTTGTGCGGTGCGATCAGGCCTCATCGGCCCCCAGATTTCCTCCCAAAGGGGCTCCTGTCCGCTGTAGAGCTCCTCTCTGACTGGCTACATGGCGAGGCTTCTAGAAAGGGCACGGAAGCCACTCAAGAAGCTCTTTCCACTGACTGGGGAACTGGGTGGTCACCACACCCAGCTGGGGCCTGAGCCTCGGGACAGGACAGGCTGTGTGGGGACAGGGCCCGCTGACCCAGGACACGTACTCCCAGCCAGGGGGGTCACGCCCGAGGCCCACTGCTTTGTATTACTAGTCAATTGGCGGGTGGCCACATCCTGCTTCGGTGCCCCTCCTGGGATGTCTGGCCAGCCTTGTTTTTGGTACTTGTTTTTTTAATGGTGGTTGTACGTATAAATAAACTTTTAGAAGGAAGATTGAAGCCATCTGTTTGGTCCTGGTCCCCCACTGCGGTCCCCATGGAGAGTCCCTACAGCTCTGCTTTCCGCATAATTAATTCCTTTCCTCCTTTATAGCTTTTGAGAGGGTGAGACGGGGATTTTGTTACTG